CTTTAGGTCGATAATCCAATAATCTGTACTTTAGATGAAGTTTTCAAGCAATAAAGTACACTTCACATTAAAGCTGAGATTATTGCATCAGCTGGTCAATTATATAAACATTTTTTTTTTTTATCAAATGTGAATGTGTTTTCAGAAAGTCCCAAAATTTTAAACTTTTTCTACATTGATGATTAGACATGTTTGAAAACTACTCGTGTTTAAATTTTAAAATGGTTTCTAGGGCTGCAACTCAAACATACAAGTGCCACAAAATCAAAATTTTAAGACAGGTACATCCATTAAAACTCCCAAATAGTTGCAATAGATGTGCACATTAATACTACAACTCATTTCAAACTATCCTCTATGAGCTGAAGTGCTGGACAAGTGGAAACTGTGACCTGCTGGTGGTGTTAGATGAAAGGTCAGAGGATCACAGAGGTAATCAGGATTCAAACTCTGGGAACCATCAAGGTCTCTGTGCCAAAAATTCATGGCAGTCTGTCCAAACTTTGTAATTTCTTTCTAGTTCAGTCCGTACGAACCTTTCCTGCCTGAGAACCCATGAAAAAGAAGCAAAGTTTAATCGAGACCCCTTTATCACCACAACATATAAGTACACACATTAAATTAGCTAAACGTATGAGCTACACCAGACATGTTCAGTTTGACCAAAAGATACATTTGGAGAAATGTTGATGTGTGTGAAGAGAGCAGGCACGAATCTGAAGAACAGCAGGAAAAGCAATTAGACTGATCACTTTCCCCCCACCTTCCCAAGCTCTTTACCACACACTGCTCAAGAAATTTACTGATATGTACACACACACACACACACACACACACACACACACACACACACAAATACATGTGCAGTTGTGCTGTCTGAGTCCAACATGTGCGACATGTGCAGGGCATAGCCAGATCGTGTTCGTCACACCATATACAATTACAGCACTAGTCAGGTGTCAGAACAAATTGTGTGTGAGTGTCTGGGTGAGTGTGTGAGTGTTGCGTGTCTCTGCAGGTATGCATTTACGTCTGTGCATGTTGTCTGTGTGTGCTTGTGTTTGTCCACATAGTTAACCCTTATCAAAGCAGGCATGTTTACTGAAAACACTCCCATGTAGTAATAGCCCGCAGGTTGACACACACAAAGCGGGAGCGCGCACACACACATACACACACACACACACACACACACACACACACACACACACACACACACACACACACACACACACACACACACACACACACACACACACACACACACACACACAAACACACACACACACTCACACACACATAAATAAACACAGTGGCAGAGGTCATAAATAAACATGTCTAATTCAAAGAACCGGCATGGGAGGAAGCTCAGTCTTCCACCGTCCATGAATGCAAAACTGACCTCTCAGTTTACCGGGATCATGTCTCATAACATTTCAAAACAGCTTATTAGCTCCTAAGAAGTGGTCAAAGGTCATGTGTTTCTTTCTCTCATACTTTCCCTCTTGCCTGTATCAGATCTTCTACATTGGACTCCTCTGTTCAACGATGCCTTGATTCTACTCAATTTTTAATAACTGCATGAAAGGCCAGTTCAGAAATAAACGTCTCCTCCTAATGTAAGAGAAGACTGTTTTTTGTTGTCCTTTGTGAGGGAAACACTGTGTGAGAGAAAATTGTCAAAAAGACCTACATCTATTATTAGATTAGAAAAGGCTAAGTTAGTTTTTCACAGAGCTTTATACTGTATCTTGAGATCTTCCTCAGGGGATAGAGTTTGCTCAGATGTCATTGTGTGGGGAAAAGTAACAGAATACATTCACATACAAATTCTAATCCACAACTAAATTATGATGTATCATACACTGAGCTACACAGCAGTACATAAAGTAGTTATCCAGTCCTTTACCTCTTCCACCTGTTCATTTAGGTCACATGATGACAACTGAGCAAACTCTATCCACCTCTTTTTTTTCTTTTTTGGACATACTTTGCTTTTTTGCTTTGTTCCTTTTTGACCTCTCTCAAACGAGATGTCATAAGACATAAGTCAAGTGTTTCAATCCCCAAGGACATAGGGATATCAAAAGAATTTTCCTTAACAATGGAGCAAATTGCATTCTATTTTAGAGCCAGCCTAAAACATCGCCGATCTTTGACATTCACATTTTTGTACTGAAATATACCCCGTCTGGTCTGGAAATGCTGTACTTTGTAGCAGCATGTTTCTCTGATCTGTTATGCCAACCAGCTGATAGTTCATATGATTGTCTCATTTATCAAATTAAGTGAGTCCCTTGGCTGGGGACGGAGACAGGAAATTGTAACACTCTTCATTAAAGAGAGCGGTTGCTATTTATGTTGCGATGACAACTCTGCCTCTGCACCCATGGGAAAGACCATCCCCAATATCTGCACTCAATAATGGATTCAGGTTTCTATTTATACTCCCTCTCACTGTCTCTTTACTCTCTCCCTTTTTCTCTCTGACTGTCACTTGGCCAGCTCTCATAATAATTATAGCTGCTGGGCATCATAAAAAGGCTGTTACAGAAATAACCAAGGCCTCGGTAGACAAGATAGGCAGTTATTTGAGAGAGTGAGATGTGTAGGTAACTCTAACCATCTAGCTGAAGCAGGATACAGTCAGATGTTTCTGTACCTCAGGCACAGAGCTACAGAAAGGATATCAAATATTGTTTCCAAGTAGAAACGTCTTAAATCATACAGTACTATCAATCCCATTGTCACAAAACCATTTATCAAAAGTGTACCACTTTCTGATGCAGCACCATTTATAGACGATGAATAATAATGGTTGGTAAATCATTGTCTTATGCTTTACAGATCAGTTATAAGTTAAGAAGATTTTTTGGGTTGGCAGGTTCTGGAAAACCCTACTTCAGTGTTGCACTTTTCTTGATCAAAGTTGGCAATTCACACAAAGTTGCAGGTTTATTTCATATCATTTGGGTCTACATAATTTGATTAATTAATATTTGTTTAAACTTTGTACCTCTTTAAGTACAATATCAACAATAACAGCTCTTCCATCTTCAGTTTTGTGGCTTTGTCTGGAGGGACACTAGTTTTAAGACTTTAACTTTTAGGTTATATTGAGCTCATTTGTTGTGCTTTATCAAATTGTCTTAAATTTTTTCTATATGTCAAGTAATCCACATCCAGAGAAACTAAGGCAAAGTAATATTATTCCATCATAGGAGATATGTAAGGCTGCAGCCATCAATTATTGATTATAATTATTATGATTATCAGTACATCTGATAATTATTGTCTTTAATAATTGATTAATAACTCTGTATGAAATGTCAGAAAATAGTGAGAACATTTAAGAAGTGAATTTTAATATTTCATACTTTTAAAAAATTACATAAATGATTAATCAGTAATCCAAACTGTTGCCAATTGATCTTCTATCAGTCATCTAATTGATAAATCAGCTAGCCAGCTCCAGAGTACTGGTTGCTTTCTGGGGGCATAGAAAAAATAATGGGGGTAAACAGGGGGTTTGTCTCCCATTATGAAGCCTGATCATCAGGTCCTGACAGGAGCGTATGCAATACCAGCGCCCTCTGCTGGCGTGAATTACCAACTGCGGGACAAACCTGCTCTGTCTGTTTAAATAAAGTTTGTTTTGTTTACAGATTCACTTAAACATGGCGTCCCTAGCAACCACACGATGCGCTGATACAAATCGTTCGGTAGGTACAATTTACTGCATTTGATATAAAAATTATAGTCTATATTACTCAGTCGACAACATTTTAATTGTCATAAATTATTTAAATTGTCAGACAACTGACGAGCTTGCGTTCGTTAGCTATTATTTACAATTATAGCAGAGTGAAGCCTTTTGCTAACTTTATGGTTTTGTTTAGCATACGCTTGCCACTGACACGATGTAATCAAATCGTTATTAATTAGTGAAATTATTTTGTAAGATATTTGATAAGATGTTTTGTACTACCCACACCGGCAACCTGTCCGATAATGGGTACCTTGTGTGTTACTTGGTTACCCATAGCGCTGTGGGTCATTGACCATTGACGGAGGACTGTATGATAGACACATGCAGTTGTTGTTGTTGTTGTTGTTGTTATTATATATTGCTTGGTTGGACAGCTTTTGTTCTTTGCTTTCACTAAATGAATCTGAGCAGGGAGATGCCCGAAACTCCAGCAGTGTCCAGCAGCCTTGCACATCATCCCCGGTCAGCAGTGACAATGTGGACCACAGGCTGGTCAGACAGAAAGCTGCACAGTTTCTCAGGGAAGCAGAGAAGAACAGGAGGCAGTAAGTGAAACTACTTACTTATTTCACATTTAACTATGAATCTTCCGTCACTTAAGTTTCACTGCAGAGATACAGTGGGATGACAAAATGACAGGAACACCCTATAATACGAAATGAAATCCAACATTATCACAGCTTCAAAAAGGTAGGTATTTACTGCAGCACTAATGAATAGGATTACATAATATTATATGGTGTTTGTGTTGTTTCATCCAGCCCTGTGTTTCATCTGTGTTTGTATGTAATTTTCAATCGCAATTGTTTCACCAACATTTTGTTGTATAAGGAGTAAGATAATTCTCTCATATAGGCTGGACAATAGCAAGAACTGATCTGTTGCTGCTGAGTCACTACTGTAGATGAGACAAGCAAAACCCATGTTATACTGTTACTTTCCAGTTTAATATAGTAATAAGTTGAAAACAGAAAAGTAAGGCACATTCCTTAGTTGCACCGTATTCATGTTACCAATCACTAAACCACTGTTTTATATATATATATATATATATATATATATATATATGTACACATATAAAATCCATCCTTGAACTTTCTGAAGACTTGAGACCTTAATATCAACATGTCTTCACTGGTCAATGATGCAATACACCCATTTAGCTCTTCTCCTCTCTTAACAGGATTGAAAAGTTTGAGAAGGAGAGGACGCTGACTTTTCAGTGCAGAAAGAATGGCTGGACAGATGGGTGTGGAGAACTTGAAGAGTACGAGAAAGTGCTGGAGGAAGAGAGAAATGTAGACAGTAAGCCTTATTTGTGTTACAGCAGCCTCATATTTCCTCTAGACACTTAAAGGGGAAGATGCAAAGTCACACACATCGTCTTCCCTGTCCATCTCACATGTACGTTGTGTCATTAAGTAGAGACAAACCTTAAATAAATATGAATGAAGTAATAATCTGAGTTTTTTCTTCCTTTAGAGATGACTCTTCAGAATCAACTGGTGAAGATTCATAATGGCGTGAGGAAGTTTCAGAGACAGCTAAAAGATGTGAAGCCAACTCCTGAGTGTAAGTAATATCAGGGAAGATCTTATTAGGCATATTTGTGATCATGTTTTCTGTTGACAGTAATTTCACTCTTCTGCTTTATGCACATACCAGATGCTATTGTAATTTAATGCACTGTTTAGTCAAACTGCTGTGATTTTTTTAATCATTTGTTTTTGCATTTCTGCTTGTGTTTTCAGTGATTGAAAGACTGAAAGAAATAATGTCAGAGGTGGAAATCTCAATCAACACCCTAAAAGAGGCGCAGCACTCATGGTAACAGGGTACACTAAACAAATAAGAACTAATCAAACTTATTAATCAGGAAAAAAAATGTAATGTGGTGTAATGCACTTCAACACAATAGCCCTTCAATAAATAGTATTTTTACCTTATAATATTAATTACTGTTGAGACCATGTCAAAAAAGTGTTTACTCATCCTAGTTGGTTTTGATATTTTGTTCTCCACCAATAAGCAAGAATCACCAAGTTATCTTACACCAAATAAACAAAAAGGTAAAAAAAAGTACAATGGTGCACATGTTGTAGTAGCCAAGCAATTACAGGTGACTATAAACAAACAAGAGCTTGTGTTTATGGCAATGCTCTATATCAGGAATAATTATATGCACTGTAATAAAAATATTGTGAATAATTGTCCTTTGTGTTTCTCTGTTCCTCGCAGCTTTGAGGAACTACTGAAGGAGGAGAGGACATGCAGACAGGAGATCACTGCTTATGAGAAGAAGATTGAAAACTGGAGCCTCAAATCAGAACCCAAACTACCCACAGCTCCCACTGTTAGGGTCAGTCTCTCTTTATTATCCTCCTTATTTTCTCTGTTGTCCATCATTCATGCAATGAAAAGAGGATCTGTAGAATCCTATAATTAGGGTGTGAGAAATAAATATTACAAGATGTTGTTGCTTTTTAGCTCAGACATGTCAAAAACATAAACACTTTCTGAATATTTCAGAAACACTTGTGTTTCATAATAATGTCTTTCACAATATGGAAGACAGCAGAAGTCATCAGAAAAGGATTCATCTTGTTCCTGGTGACTTTTTTAAAATGAGTTTAGAATTCTGACTTACTCAGCACTTCATTCATAGAGTTATCTTTTCCATAAGACCAAACCCCCAGACAGAGACCTCCCTGCAGAGGTCAGAGCACTGGAGGCTTTCCTGCAGAAGACAGGAGGCCCTTATGGTGGCTGGGACCAATATGACCACCAAGCCTTCCTTAAAGTAAGATAATATTGTCATTCTTTCTCAATAACTTGTGTTGTAATGTAAATTCTTGTTTCCAGTCGCCTTCCACAATGTTTTGCTTCAGGCGACTTCAGCAGATGTCAGGCCAAACGTTGACTGCCTCAAGATTCTTGTCTGGCTTATTTTAATCTGTTTGATTAACAGGTCTGGACAAAGCACAGTGGGCTACCAGCCTACAGGAAAGAGGCAAAACTTTACTTGCCTTGTAAATCACTGGAGGAGATAGAGCAACATGAGGATTGGCATCAGGAGCTGATCTATCTGCAGGATAGAAAGAGAGAGGTAGAGAACTTAGGCACATGGTAACAACAAAACAGTCCTCATGAAGCTGTGAGCATGACAATGGCCTCAGTTGTCAGGACTAATTTGTTCAAATTGATGTATACTACATTATTTTCTCTGGCCTGTGTTAGGTATTTTACTGTAGAGGGCGGACAGGCTGCTGCTTTTTATTGAAAACCTAAACCTAAGCTTTTTTTTTGTATGTACAATATAGTTAAACTTCCACCATAAAGTTACTGGTTTGCAATATTATGCCTACAGTGCATGAACTTTTATTTCATTAACCTTGATTAGAACCGTATTTATTCTATATAAACATGACATAGCCAAGAGATCAGAAAGAGCTTTTATTTTCTAGAGGTTGTGGCGCTGTCTTCTAAATATTTTGTGGTACTTGATACCATATCCAGGCTATTCAGCGGTGGAAGGCCAGCAAGCATCAGGAACTCCAGATCAGGATACAGAGTCAGGAGGAGGCAGAAGAGGCAGAAAGGAGGGAGAAGGAGGCCAAGAGCGAGGCCCGGCAAAACAGGTGAGTCAGAAGTTGAACAGGACAGAATAAAAGACAGAAAGACAAAGTAGAGCATGCATTAATTCCATAGCTAAATGCACTTCATTTGCTGTTATGTTCTATCCTCTTCTGTTTTAGGACTGAGGAGGAGAGGAGAAAGGCGGCACAGCGACTGGATGAGTGGAAGGAAGAGAAGAGAAGGAAAGAAGAACAGGAAGAAGAGCAGAGACTGGCTGAGGAGATAAAAAAGAGGAGGCGGGAAAAGGTGCTTTTGCATTTGTGTGTGAAAAGTCATGTAGCTGTGGTTGTTTATCATCAGAGATAGTTACTCTGTATTGGTATGTACTTACTTGTATGTTTATAAGTATTTTGTAATTTATTTTGCATAAATATCAATACACATGAACACATAATGATCAAAAGGTGATGTAAACAGGTGCACTGTTTGTGTCCTCAACAGATATTAACTTTACCAATCAAAATGATTTCTGTTCATCAGGAAGAGCGTCGGCGCCAGCTGGAAGTGAAGCTGACCATTGAGGAGCAGCTACGACTGAGGAGAGAGGAGGAGGAGGAACAGGGGAAGAGGAGGAGAGAAGAGGAACAGAGGGAGATGGATGAGAGGAGAAGGGAGGCCGCAAAGGGCATCAAACACTTTAATGAGAGGGTACGAAGTTTGAGGGTCACAGAAGCATCATCCCAGAGTGCCTGGTGCCACCACTTTCAAGGGCCAGGCTTTTTCACTAGATAGCAGATGTTAAACAGGAAGTCTACACAGGGGCTGTCGTCACTCTGACATCAGGTGTTGTGGATGCATGGTTTTTGTTATGTGAGGATATGATGTGATGTATTTTAGGGATGTGAAGACTTACCACTTTTTTAAATGTTGGTGGTTGGTCAATGCTGTGTAAAATACAAAGTTTGTCTCTGCTTTTCTGCAGGATCTTCACAAAGTGGAGGCAAAGCTTCAGGAGAAACAGCTGAGGGAAAAAGAGGAAGAGGAAAGACAGAGAAGAATTGCTGCTAAATTGAAGGAGAAGGTAAGAGTTATACAGTGAACAAGTAAGCCACACATGACAAGGTCTCCCAAGGTCTCAAAAATGTCTTTCAAATCTTTAATAAACAGGGTTGTGGATTTAAGAAAAAGGTTGATGTTTATTTGTTCCTCATTCAGGTGGATGGTCACATCAGCAGAGACCCTTCCAGGCTTACCCGTCCCACTAAAGGATGGGAGGAGCGAATGAAATGCATTGGTCCTTCAGGAGGAGGGCCTGTTCTACAGATGTTTCACAGGTCTGACTGACATTGTTTTTGAATTGTTACAGGGTCAGGCCTTTATATTAAGGACTGTTTGGGGTAATATTAGGTGATTGCTTCCTGAATCACTGAAATCATCTGTTATTTTATTGCAGAGCTGTTCCCACTTGGAGAGAGGGACTGTGAGGAGCAACATTGGAGGCCAACCGAGCAAACAAATGTGTCAGAAATGAGATTAAATGAAAATGTACTCACATGGACCCCATCACCAGATTGTGCTTTATTTGTGTGTGCTGTGTGCAGCTGATTGAGGTTTTGTACAGTCTATGAATTTACAAAACTGTTTCATTTTAAATAAAAGCTTTTGTGTAAATTTTACAACTTCTGATATCCAGTGGTGGAATGTAACATTTACTCATATTTACTAACTTATTTACTTGTTATTTTGCTTACCGTACAAATCATAAAAACAGCTTATAAAATATGATGCTTTGCTTTTACCCAACAATATATACTAGTAGAGGTGAAATGATTAGTTGATTAACAGGAAATGAATCGGCAACCACTTTGATAATCATTTGAGTCATTTTCATGTCAAAATGTCAAACGTCATGCTACCGGCTTCTTCAATGTGAGGATTTGGTGCTGTGCCTTTTAATTATTATAATTTATTTTGAATGATTTTGAGAAATGGTGAAGTTTTGTGAAGATGTCATTGGAGGCTATGGGTATTGCTGGGGGGCACTGGTCACTTTTTAAAAACATTTTTACAAACCAATCAATCAATTAATTCATTCATTGACAGGGAAATTAATCAGACGATTAATCCATGATGAAAATCAGTTGTTGCTTGTATGATGCTGCTAGCCCTCTCAACAACAGTAATAAATAATAGAATATTATATGTTTTATTATGATAATATAACACTCCAGGCCATTTTTCAGCATTAAGTACTTTTGAATTTTACTTGAAATTCATGTCCCTGATTATACTTACATACTGATTATACTTACATACTTTTCAACTTCATACTTTTAACGTAATGCAGGGCTTTTACTTCCAATGGAGTATTTTTAACAGTGTGAGATTAACACATTAACCCAAGTAAACGATCTGAACCCTTCCTCCACTGCTTCTTAAGGTCCACACTGCTCTGTAATGTGAGGTTTTATTTTGAAAAACGAATTTACCGGAAAAGATTCCTCATAGGTGCGGATGCAAAGATGGCGGAAGAGGAGAGCCAGTTTGAAGAATTTGAGCAAATAGACTTTTTAAGAGATCGACATGTACGATTCTTCCAGAGAACACTCCAGGTGTTACCTGAGAGATACGCCTCGCTGGAAACAACCAGGTCAGTTTACTGGAATGAAAAATGCTGCTTTAGTTTGTATGTTTTGTTGAGGAACTTGACTAGCATCCGAGCTAGCTGCGGTTCACCAGCCGTTTAGAATGGAGGCTAGTGCTACTTAGCTTAACGTGCATGCTAACATCAACCAGGGTAGTGAAGTTATGACAGACTGACTGGTGTAATACAGGAAACTAACTGTACAGCGGGGCCCGACGCCCTATGAAACTTATTCGTCAACATTTGTAGGTTATATTATCATTGGAATAAGGCTCATTTGAAAATGAGCTTCAAGCAAAATGGACTGTGTAGTTGGTCAAGTTCTTCATTTGTGAACTTACACATCCAGTTTTCTCATCTGCCTTTCCCAGCAGAACTTAACCAACGCCTAAGCATGAGCTACACATGCTGTTTTAACATTGTTTTGTATTGGGTTTTATTATCCAGTAATCAGTGATCTTTCACTGTCACTGTTTATATTGGCACTGATTTGTTGCATAGCTCTGAATGCATTCATAGTTCTTGTAGTTCCATTATGAGTAAAAATGAATAAAAATTCTCTGTCTTCTTCCCAGGTTAACTATCATATTTTTTGCCCTGTCTGGTCTTGATGTGCTGGATGCCCTTGATGTTATTGATAGGAACACCATGATTGAATGGATCTACTCACTACAGGTTCTGCCCACAGAGGATCGTAAGTCTGATATCCCCTTACTTTTCACAACCGACTCCAAAATGAATAAAGTTTATACAGTTCATTATGAAAGGTTTGCACTACAAATATTCATTGCCAGTAGTAATGAGCAAATCAAAAGGTTGATGTCAAGGCCAACTAACTACATCAGAAACAGATAAACTATAATGATCCAGGGAAATTTCTTTGTTACAATTGCTCAACAGTTAGTTAGAGGAAGTAAATAAGTGAAAAAAGTAAACATTAATATATAGCAGTAATGATAATAATAAATACACAATAAGTAAGTAGACACATTTACAACTGTTTGAAAAAGTAATGTGCAGGATAGAATCACTGCATGGACAAAAGTGCAAAAAAATGGAAACATGTAAAGTAGATTAACAGTAATTTAACTGTAAATTACCTGTGATGTGCAAAGGTAAACTGGATAAAATTGTAACTTGGCTTAACAATACATTAACAGTACAGCAGAGTACTGATGGAGATGTGCAGAAAGGGGAGGAATCGTGTAACTGGATGGCCACAGGAATCCTAACCCTGGAGCACTTAGAGTGCCTGGCTGAACATACCCCTCTGGCTAACCGCAGTAACACTGTAGCTAGAGTAAGGTGAATGAAGCATTATTATCTCTGACACGCAGGGCTTCAAAAACAGGTGTTGTAAACTCAGTCCAGTTTCCCTGTTTTAACCTGCTGCACTATCATTTTTTTCACCATGTTAGTGCATGAATTCAACCACACAAGAAAACAAATTGAAAAGAGTTGAGCCTGACAACTACAATAATGGCATTCCCCTAACTCAGAAATTAGTGCTGTCAAAGCCTCAAGGGAGCTGCATCAAACAGAATAATTATTGTTTTGTCTTTGTCAAAATAGCAAGGATTTGGATTTTTGGACACTATGCATGGACAGGAAAGTACCCAGTAATGTCTCAGCTTTCAGTCAAGTATCAGTCAGAAAATATTTTGAAGAATGGAGACTAGTTGTAACAAGGCCAGCATAGAAAAAGGTGCAGCACAATGCTGTTTATTGCTGTAACGGTCACACTTGGTGTACACACTCTTACATACACGGTTTCTAATTTCCAGGGCGGGGAGCTTAAGTGGGGTGGGTGGTAGTGTGTGAATGGTCACATCAAGAAAAACATAACTTTAAGGGTTTTGTCTTGAAACAACAGAGGAAGAAACAATTTCTGAAACATTTGAGGGTAAATGTATCTATTTATGTAATGGAATGTGTCCGTGTAAAGGTGAATGGTTTCAACAGAGTCCAAGAGAGGGAGGGCAACAAGGGGAGTGCTGGAATGGGGACAGTTTAGGATACTGTCAATATGAGATTTTCTTTCAGCATACATTTCAAGAAAGTCTCATCAAATTGTCAACCTTGAAATATTTGAGTACTTTTTGGGCTTTGAAGCAGATATTGGCCTCAAGGTGTCCTCCGCACCTAACCTGTTCCAACAGCACCTCTGTTCATTGGGGAAAGTTTGACTCTAAATATTTAATTACTTGTTTTTTTTCTGTCTCCTAACAAGCCACTCTGTGCCATCTGTTTAGATGCCCAGTTAGTTAATTATTCAAGACAGCAACAGAAATCATGTCAGGATAGCCGTGCTTGATTGGTCTCATTTTTGCTGCTGCCATATGTTTGGTGTCTGGCTGGTTTCTTGTCATTAGATGTGAAAATACAGCTTCAGAGGCGCTTGAGATTTCCTAATGTGTCATCAGTATGGAAATACTTTTTTTTTGTTTTTGTTTGAAGCTGTTTAGACTTTCAACAGTTGTTGATGGATATGTTGTTGCTCTCCAACTGAGTGCAGGTGTGTTGAATATAAAAATGTTTATAGATTAATTCAGTCGATGCAAAATGTATTTTGTGTCTCTGCCAGACTTTGTGTACAGTGGCTTCAGAAAGTATTCAGATCCCTTTCATTTTTGCACACTTTATTATGTTGCAGATTTAATTTGAAAGGGATCAAATTGCCAATCGATCAATCTAGTCAATTTTTGCAAATCCATTAAAAACCAAAAACTAAAATGTCTTATTTACCGAAGTAGTCAGTTGTACTGTCTCCCTAGGGCTTAAAAAAAAAAAAAAAAAATAGGAAACAGTTTTGTTTTCATCATTAGAAAACTGAAAAAAATGCATGAATATTGTGACCCTTGTCTGTCTTGACTGAATACAAATTAGCAAAGTGCACAAGACAAAAAGAGCGTAACGATTCATCAAGTAGTGCAACACAAACAGTGTACCATCAGCCTCTTACAGTCATGATATATTTCAGGACACTGACCACAATATTGACCTCAGAATGTTTTGTCACATGTTGAAATTGTATTAAAGCATGCTGTTCGTGTTTTTGTGCAGTTTGTAGTATGATTTCATTTTGTATGCTGTCCTGCTTTAAACACTGGTCCTGTGATGGCCACTAGATGGCAGCAGCACACTTTATTTATAGCTAGTAGGTCATCAAGTTGTACATCTTTCTAGCACCTTGCTGAAGGTCAATACAATCAGTATTAGACCTAGTTTGCGAGAAAAAACTGCTTTCTTGTTCCAGTTTGTCTGAATGTTCACCATGACATAAATCAGAGTGTTTCTCACATCTGCTCCTGCCCTTGTCATGTTGTTCTCTTCCAGAGTCTAACATAAGCCGTTGTGGGTTTCGAGGATCGTCTCACATTGGAATTCCTTACAGCACTAAGGTACTCATCCCATCAGTTGTAATATTACCGGTGATTGTGATGTTGTGTGCATGTTTTTTTCACATTTTGAATCACTGCTCTCTCCCTGTGGAGCCATAGTTATGGAAAACAGAAATGCCAAGCAAAAAGGTCTATTTAGCTGTAGACAGTTAAATGCTTCATCTGACTGATTCTGTTATTGTTTTTAACTTTTGTAATCTCATGTTTTTGTCTTCCCACTGCATTTGTATGAATAAAGTCTCATTTTGATATATTGTTCAGGGGCCAGGTGTGCTCCATCCATATGACAGCGGCCATGTAGCTATGACCTACACTGGGCTGTGCTCGCTGCTAATACTGGGAGACAACCTGAGCCGTGTTAACAAACAGGCCTGTCTGGCTGGTCTCAGAGCACTGCAGCTGGAGGATGGCAGGTTAGTACACACACACACAAATTTACACTTACACTCTGACTCAAATATACCCAAGGTCATGTGAACACTAGGAGTCTTAACGTGGACATGCACACACACACACCTGCACACATCCTCAGACATGAATATATCACATTAAACACTTTTTTTAAAATCACATTTGGTATGATGTGAGTTAAATGCTATAAATTTAAAGTCTGCTAATTTCCAGTTGTTTGTGTAACTGTTGTGTTTGTCTGGCCATTTTTCTTCTTGCTTCCAGTTTCTACGCAGTGCCAGAAGGAAGTGAAAATGATATACGCTTTATCTACTGTGCAGCTAGTATTTGTTACATGCTGGATGACTGGTCAGGCATGGACATACAGAAGGCCATTGAGTACATCAGAGGAAGTTTGGTGAGTTGATTTTAAAAACCTTGAATGAGGTATTGAACTATAGGGAGAGGGTTAAGTTTGGGTTGCAACCCTAAATCTATGAATGAGACCCACATTCCCAGCCAACAGGACTGCCCCTAAGCATACAAACACTGTTTCTGCACCATTCAAAGCTGCCCCTCTACACTTGAATGAGGAGAATAGGCCACCCACCTTTAGTAGGCGGAACTCGGCCTAGAAATACTTCATTTATAATAAATGGAGAGGGTTGAGCAGTGCATCATGGTCTTAAAGCTGTAGCAGAGTTTTTTCATCCCCACCCGGAGAAAAACAACAAGCTCCAAGTTTATGATGTGGCACTTGAATGATATTTTTGCTAGTTTGTTGAGTGATGTTTAACTCAACCCTTACTTTATCCTCAGTGTTTGTTTTTCCATCAGACGTGGGTTAGACACATCAAAGCGCTCAGAATGAGGGATTGTCTTCATGATCATCATCTCAGTCTCTTGTACAGCTCAAGTCTCCAGATCACAGAGAGATGGTCCCATTCACTCCAAAACTTCAGCTTATTTTAAGCTTGACATTTAATACAAGAGTGTTTCCTTACAGAGTTTCTTTGTTATGCACATGGGTGTGTATGCAACATACCCACTCTCTTTTTCACGCACACGCTAAGAAAGAGAGGGAAAGGGAAAAGCCTGTTAATTACTTAAGAGATACCCGTAAATCATAACTGAAAAGTATATTTATCCACTGGCCACATACTAGTGGGTGGATTCCAAAATGTTTTTGGCAAAGCAAGTTAGTTGCTGGTGAATGTAAGTATACAGAAAGCACCAGATGATGGGTGGTTATGTGTTAGAAGGCCTGGAACAGTAGACAAGTTTACCAGCCACACTCAAAGCTTCACTTACATTTGGATGGCGCCAGGTATCCATTTACTAACCTTATTGTTATGGTCTGATCAAACCAGACACACAGAGAGAAAAGAACTAAACACTGTTAGTTTTTCCCAAGTGACTGCCATCTGTTGTGTAGCTTGTGTAATTTTGTAGGAACCACTGTTTATGATAGGCAGTTGTTTTTCCAAAAATTGCTTCGAAACTTGTCACAGTTTCAGGGAAAATTAGGTTGTTCTAAATCAAGTGTTTAGCTTTTGCAGGTTCATGAAACCTTATTTGTTTTCTTTCTGTGAGCAGAAATAACCACATCCCCTGTGTAGTCCCAAAATAAGAGCCTACTCCTTTTTAGCTGCGCTGTTCCATTAAAAAAAACAACAAAAAAAACAACTTGGTTTAGACTGACATACAAGGAAAACCCATCTGGGCCCATTACTACTTCTTTCACAACATTTTTTTAGTAAAATGAAGCAGTGACACTCAAAGGTTGCCAATATGTGTGAGTAATGCCTGAGCGAAAAACGTCTTGTAGCCGCTGGATAACAAATAAAATTTGAACTTAATTGAGTAATGTGAATTTTGGCTTAACAATAGCAAATAAAAAAATAACCCAGAGCTATGCTGGTCTGTGTATCCTGAATGAGATTATGTCATTTTTAGCAGCTGCCACTTGATTGCAACACAGTTTAATGCAAGAAAGAGGGAAGCATGAAATACATCTTGTTAGCACGCCAATTGATGATTCATTCAGTTGTGACTTGACCAGTAAGAACAAATGGGATCCCTCAAGATGAATTTTGCCTTTCTTCTTATAGCCTCTCTTTTAATTGAATGTTTGTTTCTTTTCTTTTTTGTCTCCACAGTCATACGACAGTGGGTTTGGCCAGGGAGCAGGGCGGGAGTCACATGGTGAGTATGATCAGCCTCTAATGATTTATACTTAGGTACAGGTATCAGAAATGTGAGTTTGAAACCTATATGCTCATTAAGTTACAGCTGTAAGATTAAAAACAAACACACCCGGGTTTAAAAGTCTAATGTATGAATAACGATTTGGGTTTTAAAGCAAAAGGTTAATATCAGATCAGAAGGTTTGTTGGTGCGTTGGCGGTGCCGTGGTAGAGAGCATGAAAGTGGCTGATGGGAGTAACTGGTTTAAAGGATTAGCCATTAAAATCCATCTCTGTAGCTACATTGTCCTCATTAATCCCTACCCCACTCAAATTAAACCTTATTATTCTGATACAAAAGACATCATCCTACAAATACGCACACACACACACACACACACACACACACACACACACACACACACACATTTAAAATCACTGCTTGAAACATATCCACAGCCATCATTTTGACATGGTAAAGGAAGCATTTCATGTTAACTTTGTGACTTACTGAGCGCATATGTTAAATCTATAGAAGTAAAACTGCTTGACGGGGCAGATCCCAGTGCATCTTGGTAATTCCCCTCCTTGCGATAAATTCAACGTCTGTGATTACAGGCTTCAGTGAGACTCAGCTCTCTACTGCGAGCCAGCCAACTCTCTGTCTGTTGGCTGATTACACATCAGTAGAGAGATACAGTAGATGCCCATTACCCATCCAGCCTTGAAGCTTGTGTTTGTTGAGCACCAAGACCTCCCACACTGTGTGCTTTAAATGTTCACAGATTCTTACAGTGTTTTTGTGGATAATTGTGTTTGAGCTGCTGTGTGGTTTCAACATGTGAAACATGGTATTACAGAAAGTGTGTGCCAAGGTAAGAAATGAACTTTCTCTCTGTGTATGCATTCAGTGTGGTTGGCTTTTACCTCACTGTTTCCTCTATATCTCCAGCATTTTCTTCTTCTTCAGGCTATGTACTCTTGTTTTCTGACGACATGGTGCTTCCTTTTCTAATAAATACACTTGATAAATTCCCCAATTGCTTGTCTCCATGAATAACATACCATGGCCTATGAGGAAAAATAGTCACATTCAGGTGTGATTATTTGTCTAATCATATGAAAGGTTACCAAAAAGATGCTTTGTCAATTCTTTTTATATTAATATATACAGACCTAATTTTAGAGTATCTGGTTTTGAATTTCCCACAGTTGTATTTGATTTATATTTGTCCCCCTCTGATCTTCCTGTGCTTCAAGCAGATAGTGAGCTAGATATGGTTGAATAGAGGCAAGTGTTGATTAGAGACACGTCGGCATATTTACACCCCTGACCCACACACTTCACCCCACTTTTTCTTTGTTTCTTTCTCTCACACTTGAACACACATGAACACAGATAAGCGGCGAAGTATGGTGGTAATGTTACAGGCTTGGTGATAAAGAAAGCAGTTGTCAGTTGGGTTGTAGAAGGTGATGGATAGCTGCTGCTTGTGGCTGTACTGATAACAGCTTGTCATCAATCGACAAACGCACTCACACGGTTTGTGTGACTCCAGCTGGAAAGACGCTCTGCTTTCAGTCCCTAACCTTAAAGTTAAAATTCTGGTGAAACAATTCACAATATTACCCCAATCAGATCTCAGAAGGGCCGCCTAAAGCATCTTTATTCAACTTGGAGGTCTTCAATTGTTGTACAGAAAAGTATTTTCCTCCATTTTCCTCTCTGGCCCACATTTCTGTAAAATAATAAGAAACACAAGATAACTCCAAATTGTCATTACTTCCAACGAAAGGTGGAAAGTGAGAGTTGTGGCACGCTATCAAGTATTTGGCAGTAAAATGGCACACACAGTCACACCCTCTGTTTTTACTGGATTGTAATCATCTACTTGTCTGTCATCAAAACATGTCAGGGTGAACCACTGGAACCACTGCCTTTTCAATTTTAATACACTGTCAGAAATCAGTAGTCTCATTTAAGTGTGAGTGAGTGTCATGCACCTGCCTGTCTGTGTGTCCAGGTGGCTGGACGTACTGCGCCATAGCCTCTCTGTGTCTGATGGGTCGATTGGAGGAGGCGTTGAGTCAGCGGGAGCTGGACAGGATCCGGCGCTGGTGTGTCATGAGGCAGCAGAGCGGCTTCCACGGGCGCCCCAACAAGCCTGTAGACACATGCTACTCCTTTTGGGTGGGAGCTACGCTAGAGGTACAGACCGGTGTAACAGTACGCACTTGTTAAGTACATTCAAGTATTTTACCCCTGATTTTCTGCACTTTTGTACAATTTCCTCATGGGAGACGAGATAGCAGGGAGAATTTTTGAAAAGTATACTAGCCTGCACTGAATAATAAGCAGCATTTTTTAAAATAGGACAGAAATATACTTGTCGTGTCTAAACAACTGTTTATCGTTCACATACACCCCAAAAAACCTGTGAGCAAACCTTTCAGCATGTGGGTCATAATTATGCCAGGGGTACAAGCATGCGCACACATGAATCAGAAAACTGTGAACTAAAAAACTATGAGTAAGTCAGACACATACATACACACACACACACACACACACACACACACACACAGTTCAGGAAAGCTGAATTTCTGGGTTAAAACTGTGCCAGAGGAACAAATGCATGTACTCAAAAATAGTTGTATGTGGCAAAGAATGGCAAACATTGAGGCTTGATGTTGTCTCCACTGGTATTGGTATCATTGGAGAATATCAAATGTTTGATCATTGATGGCAGTAACCCACTTGAAATGAAACGTGAAATTAAATAACGTGCTCAGCATCTTTGAAGTGAAATTGTAGAAACAACCAGTTGAAAATGATTAAAAACTTTCTGATTTGTATTGAATATTTTTGTTTTGTTTTTGTGTTTGCTCCCACATGTCGTGGTAAAATAAATCCCTTGTTCGCTTCTTTTTCTCTCACACACACTCCTGTCCCAGCTGTTAGACGTGTTCCAGTATACAAACTTTGACAAGAACAGGAGCTTCATCCTGTCCACGCAGGATCGGTTGGTGGGGGGATTCGCCAAATGGCCGGACAGCCATCCAGGTAAATGATTTGACTTGCAAACATGGATATTTCAGGACCATTTTTTGGTAGACGGTCACAGTCATCAGAGGGTGTGCAAAGAAAAAGACACTACTGGAAAGCCAATTACAGAATGCTGCCATGCTTGTTTATATAGGTTTTGTATCAGTGTTGCTGTTTTCTGTATTTGTGGGGGGATTTCTGTCAAAGTGAGAGTGGCATCAATCCATGTACCTTTTTATACTGCTGTAAAGGCCACAGGAGTGTGCAGGATGGGTTTGACTGGCATGGAGGAAACAAACAGAACACAAATAGACTACATTGAAGTTCCTGTTTGACATATTTTAGCTGTTTATTCTTCAGTAACTTCAAAGATCTCACATCATGGACAAAAAGATGCTGGAACCAAGTAATTTCAGTATCTTTGTTTTTCCTCTTTCATTCTTTGGGATCAACAGTTTTTACCCTGCCCTCCACAGGTGCGGAGAGGACAGGGTGGAGTTTTGGTTGGCAATTTCACTTGAGATCAATGGAAAAGCTCTTGTAACCCTAAACTTCAATGGTGTACATGCTTGTGTGTGTGTGTGTATGTGTTCGTGTGTTCTTGCTCGCCCTTGTAATGTGTAATTGATGAGGTGAATGTGCATGGGTAGCCCGAGGACACAGGAGATCGAGCTCCTCACATTACGGGAACAAGGCAGGGAAGATACAATGAGGAAAAAACAGGCGCTGCACCAACAAAGCCTCGTAAATACTACTGAACAAAAGAGTTTTAGGAAATGAAAGGAACTCTGCAGCATTATGGGTACTGATAACATTGAACTTGCATGTACTTTAACAGTCCAGTCATGCACAGCTACTGATGCACAGGAACTGCTCTGGGAAGATATGAAGGTAACAATAACAAAGAACAAAAGCAGGTGGTGTGTATTTGTCAAGCAGATCTGGACCAAATATAGCCAAATGTACTTTGACAGGAACAGCTGGTATTGCATAGGGACAGAGTAGTCAGACTTTCAGGCCAAATTGATTGAATCTTAATGAAAGCATCTGTTTACATGATCCCAAGAAACAGAACCACAGCTCTTTTCAGTGTCTGTCTTCGTGGCTGTAAAAAAAAAAAAAAAAAAAAAAAAGGCTGAATACAGTAAAGTGATGGACGCAGATCAAGTAATGAATTATTTCTTTGAAAAGTTTTTGTGTTAAAAATCAGATTGTGTGATGCCACATGTACAATTCAGTTAACGTGATCAAAATAGCATAGCTAGGTTCTCATAATCAGTGAAATGGCCCAACAATGGGCCATTTCATGTGATGGCGGCAAAGCCACCTGATAATGATACATGTGAAAGGGACTGTCTTTAAGAGGCTGTAATCAATATTTTTGTTTGGCAATGTATCAAATGAAAATTGAAAACGATGTGAAAGGGTTCACTCATTGTGAGGAACCTACAGAGAACTTTTAAGTGAATCTGTAGCTCCCCTCGGCTTTACGGAGATTTGTAGTTAGTTTTCAGTTTCGTTGTTTAGTTTATAGTCCAGCCAGTGTACACTGCCTGCTTAGCACCAAATGGCAGACAGACACAGTTAGCAACTTGCTGGTGAACAAAGTGGAGCATTTAGAAACTAAAGAGACAGATATATCCCTCTGGAGTTGATAGAAACCAAATACAGAGCTAAAAGAGAGTGAATATTGGACTTGAATTCATCAGGTGGCCAGAAACAATACTGTAAATGAACAGTAATTGTTGCTCCTTAACTGCTGGATGTGTAAATAAGCAATGGTTCGCTAACAAATTGTCATGTTATCAATGTTGCGTTCACAGCTTGTTCCTGCGGTCCGTAAATGGCCAAAAAATCAGTAATTGCAGGTTTAAAAAGGAAAAAGGCGTGTTGATTTTTAATCATCAAAAACATTGCAAATATAAACCATAATTGTACCTTCAGCAGCTTTCTGCAGCATCTGTAAGATGTAGTATTAAAATCATACGATAAATGGACAGTAGTTTGAAGTACTGCTGGGCGATAATTCCATGTAATTACTCACCAACTTTCAGTGAAATTATATGTTGATCTAACCGTGTTAATGTTCTGCTGATTTCTGTTTAAATTAATTATTCTGATTAAGCTATTATCAAACACATCATTGCTTCACGTCTCATTTTGTATACAATTGCCATATATCACAATTTGTGATTTAAATCTTTATCAAAAATATAATTATTGATTAAATCTCACCTCAGACTTTTTTTTTTTTTTTTCTGAACAGCCTTGAGTTTGAGTCCTCATGAGTCCTGATTGATGCAGCTAATGGTGCTTTGATTGATTCTGATGTCTGCTTCCAATCATCTGTCATTTCATTGTAATTCAATTACTGCTCCATTTACTGGCCTGTACAGCTTTTACGCTGGTCCCAGGGGAGCAAAGGGGCCATAGGGCCAACCTATGTGCATTATGTATGTCTACTTAAAGGAACAGTACAACAAAACCTGTGCTTCTACATAACAATGGATTTTATGTGCAACGAGGTTACGGTTTCCTTGATTCAATAATAGAGAGTGATGTGACAACCATCATGTTTGTCTTATATGTGATTATTCTGATTGCTACAGACCTGTCACATGCAGGTGTTTCTGCTGTGACAAGTTCCCCTCTCTGACCTACTTTCTCCCTTTTACCCTCCTTTCTCTCACTCATTCATCCCTCACTATGCTCCCCAATTCCTCCCTCTCTACCTCTTTTTCTCCACTTCCGGTCCACCAGACCCTCTCCATGCCTACTTAGGGCTGTGTGGTCTGTCTCTGATCGGAGAGCCCAGCCTGAGGAAGGTCCACCCAGCTCTTAACATCACCCAGAGAGCCTTTCAGCACCTCCAGCAGCTGCAGCAGACATGGAGGGACAGCACTGGCAGCTGCAGCAGACAGCACTGACAGCAGCATGATCCACAGGTTTGCCTCTAAACACGTTCAATCTGGAGCATCTAACGGTAGTCAGTCAAAGGCAACTGGACTTTTGCTGTGTGTCTTGAAGATGTTTGGCAACTCATCTGAGAGGCCTTCTCATTTCAGGAATTAAGAAGGCTTTTTAAGACTCCAGTTACACAGTAGTAACTTTGAGGAACTAGTTTTAAATTCACCTAAAGCAATGTTTTTTTTTGAGCAATATCCGCCACACTTTTTTTGCTGCCTTTTTATTAGTAGACAGTAGTAAATAACATTGTGCATTGTGGTTTATGGGGATAGAATTATGTGCCAGAAAGTTCAGTATGAGTCACTGGAGACTTGAAGAAATTCCAGATGCCTCACCTTTGCGAACCTTTTAGATTATGACATTTTGGAAGCTCTCTGCTCCCCAGCCTCATCATCATAGTTGCTGTAAACCTTTTGCTATGAATGAACACTACTGACTCAATTCACATGCACATAAGAAACATCCTCTAAGTAAAGGTTATTCGCAGTCTTAGGAGGGATGCCGAGCAGAGCTTAGGGAACATCTAAATTATCTTTTTTTAAATAGTTGTGGAGTAACATCAGTAGCTCAAAGTTTTTGAGCATTCTGGTCTAATGAATTGACTAACTAAGCTTTTGCTGAACAATGTCTCAATATTCTATAAAACAAATAAATGAGATTGATTTTCATTATTGTTCACAAACCAATATGGGCCCAGTGGTAATTTTTTGGGGAAATGTGGAACCTGTTGAGACAAATATTCATGTTTCCTTTAGAGCAACGTTCCTACATTCTCAGACAAAAAGAAAAACAAAAAAACAATTCAAGGCCCTGTCCTCCAGACAGTATATACAGTGTTTTTTTGCCTCTCTGCCTTCATAACATCTCCATCCTTACCTTGCTCTTGAACCTTTTGAAAGCCTCAAGCTCTCCACTCCCAAAGCTGATACCAGCCTGGCAGGTTTACTCTCCTGAGCCTCTCACTTCAGCATCCTCCAGTTTCACCACTGCAGGCAGTGATCAGGAGACATTTAAATGATAATACAACTGCTGGGGAAATTCACTGGAAAGGCAGCGAAGAGCCAACAATCACCTCTGGGGTCAAATCTATAACAAAAAAATCTAAAACCCCTTAAAAGAAGATTAAATTAAATTTAGCTTTAGCTGGCCTTATCATGCCAAATCACAGAAAACAGATTTGTTTAATTTATTGTCCAACTTTTTCCTCAAGCTAACAGAAACATAGATTGGACCTTAAGGGAATTTCTTTAGATGGGGGGGAAATCCCTTCTTTTCCTGAAAGGAAAGTAGTCAAATTTAGCAGCAGATCACATCCTGACATCCCCAGACTCCTGAACCCTGAACTGATCTGAGCTACACTCCTTCAGCAGCTTCCATGCTCCCTTCAGGGCTTGGGCTGGCCTGAAATCAATAGGACAAAGATGAGACAGTGGCATCATAACTTGGGGAAATGTATTCTTTTGAGCAGCAGTGGGAATCGACATGTCGTTTTCAGAAAAAAAGGATGCAGGCAAAACAAAGAACAGTGTACATGAGCAGAACAGTGGGGTCCAAAAGTCTGAGACCACTTTCCTATTCACTTGAATTTGACACAAAGGGATGTGACCATTCACTGGTCACATCCCTTTGTGTCCTAAAATGTTGTCTACCATGACTTGACTCTGAATCACTACCCAGCCACTTGCAGCTCATAAAAGTGACCTTCCAGCCTTCTTGCCCTTGAGCTGAGCTACAAATTGGAAAATGATAGTTTGTTTCTAATGAGATCCTAACATGGTGACACAAAATTCTGAGCTGAGCACAGCCGGTTCCTCTTGTCTTCTCATTACATCAGTGCTCTGATTCCCAGCTAGCAGTATTACCAGCTCCACAGATTCCTCCAGCCCCCTGCTGAAGCCACACCCTTTCATTATAAAACTGTTGCCACAGTAAACACCTGCTCCCTGACATGACGAGCGAGGAGGAGACAATATCACAGCAGGTCAGAAATGCAGTGGCCTGTCTCCAACACGTTACCTGCGGGAGTCTACTGTCCCATTTCTGAAAGGATATGAAAATAATATTGGCCCAGTGCTTTTCTTTCCATCCACCTAAAATGAACCTGTACCTGGCCCAGTCTCCTTTCCCGCCAAGTTGCCTTCTTGTTCAGACTTAGAAACCAAACCAGGCAGACGGAGGAAAGGAGAGAAGAGAGGAGGAGAAGTGAATAAATAAATAATTTGATCCATCTATTATTAAAAGTAAACTGTCGGAGGCTGGAATCTCCTCTCTGAACCCTGACCAAACCTCCAGTGTTATATAGCCTTGTTTTAATGCAAAAACAATTGCTTTTTAGCGTCTTATTTCATTTATTTTGTTGATATTATGCCTAAGACAATAGGCTTTGCTACAGTTGCTCTAAGTGATGTTGCCGACATTACTCCTGCTTTTTTTTTTTTTTTTTTTTTTTTTTCACGAACATTTTGTTAGTTACCTCAAAATATTTTTTAACCTTTGTGAAAAGTAAGATATGACTTTCATTGTTGCTGCTGAATTGAGTCTCAGACACAAGTATCATGATAATACAAGTTCAACAAAATTAGCTTTTTAATTCACCATATAATATAATGGTATCATCTTTTTTGTTATTTTGTTTTGAAATGTCCTAGATCCTTGAAGTAAATCTGAGTGGTCAAAAATGCACTGATAGAAAACGGTTACTGCTGCACCACCACTGTGGAGCCAGATCAGTTCAAATTGAATGATCATGTCTCTCATGCATCTTCTGAAGTGACTTTTATACTGCTTGAACTCCCTCAGCTGGGTTCTGTCCTTAGCGTACGCAGGCCAAAAATCACATGGCAAGACCACTTAGTCAGGCTTGACTCTGAAATGTGCCTCACGTAGTATTGTTCTGGGTCACTGCGCTCCGAATGCTCTAACTTCTGATTTCAGTACGTGCACAGCATGCTTAAATTGGGCTTAGCTAGGCTGTTTCTCTCAAGAAAGGCATTGAATATAAGTGTTGTTTAAAGGGGGGGAGGGAGAAAAGGTGTGTCCTAAATCTGTGTGAACATTGAGGAAGTGGAACACCTACTCCCCTCTTCAGTTATCCGGTCAGATGTACTGAAAACTGACTGGTAGAAGTCGTTTTACCAGAATCTCGCTATCCCTTTCCTGTCCGATCGATAATGTATTTCCAGAAGGTGGAAAGACTTAGTTGTGGCAGAGCCCATAAATGCTTACTCGACTTTAAAAAGGATCTGCCACTTCCTGCAGACGAAGGCTGCATCTCAGCAGTTGTTATATTCGATCTCCTTCTTCCGCCACATCAAGCTGCAGTCGATGTTCTCGGCCCCGCAGCATGGAAAGAGGGGACCAAGGCTTTACACTTTAGACAAGGCTGCAGTGCAGGCTGTTTGAACGGTCCACAGATGTGAAAGGGTTGTTTAAGTCTTTGTAAGATGCAGTCAAAATGCCACATGTGATCGATCATGAGCCCTTGCTCTATCACCAACTAATATACATAATGTAATAATAAATAATGTAACAATAAATGTAACTGAATTTATTTTTTCTATGCTTTGTAGAAATATTGAGTGTAGATAAGTATGTAAATGTATATAAATATGTGACTTCTATTGTGCAAGTGCTCAAGATGAAAAAAAATGTTTACAACTACATCAGTGAGACAGACAGGAACTGGATATGCAAATGTTCATATGTGATGTATTATAGTACTTCAGCTTTGAATTTGAGGACAGTAATGTTGATTCTAGCTTGGCAGTGCATACTGTATTTATGGTGAATAAAAACACATACTAACTTTTACAGTAGTTTTTGGTTTCTGTGGATTTGTTTGTGCATAAATATGTCAAATTTGCTTCTGTCAAGACTAAAAGTTGAAGGCTGTGGGTACGTTGAATTGGGGGCATTTTATCACCTTGAGAGCATGAATTATTTGCTCAACAGATTTCATGGCAATCCGCTTATTAGTTTCTATGATGTCTTGTGTGCAAAGCTGGCTTGCACAAAAACACCAGATCTGCACCACAAAAAAGAAAAATACTTGTTCTTTGGCCTACATCTTTCCAGCATGTTATAAAATAAAGGATCCTCCTTGGACCGCTAATATTTCTATAAACGTTTAATAGCTATGTGGCCAGTAGATCTCCAGATACCTTGCTCTGGACAGAAGTGTTAAAAAGACAAAAAAAAAAAAGCGTTCACCCTGCTCCTTGTTAAGAGACAAACTGCCAAAATCTGTGCACTGGTAATGTATTAAGATCAAAAGAATAGAAGAAATGTATAATTTCTTTTTTACTTTGTTGACCCAAAGGATCTGGATCACTGGGCCCTCTTTATTTTTAGCACATCAAATTACATAAAATCACCCATTAGTCTGCAATGTTGCTAATGACTTGACTATGAAATTACTATTCAGTGCAAATGGTTTTATGTTCCGATTAAAGATAGAATTAAAATGAGGTAGAGGGATTGCTACTACAACTAGTCAGAAATTAGATATTACAATCAAATCAAATTACAATCAAAAGATCCATCACTAACATGGATCTGTTTTGTGCATCATGTCCTGATTTCTTCCAGGCTTAGCTGGGGTTTTCCTTTCCTGTGCCCATTTAAGATGTCAGTAGTCTAAATGTGAAGTATGTCTTTCATTAAGGGAAAAAAAATCTTGTCATCATTCATTTTGCTATTGCATGATTACCCACAACAGCTGGGTTTTAGTGTAAAAGACAGAGTCCTTTTTCTCTCTCATAGAAGGCTGTGGCTGGATGACTCAAAACTGTTGTTCCATTTTTAACTTCAAAGATAACAGCTGGTCAGCATTGTTCCTAATTTGCCACAATTGCCTTTAATTTTTGTGCAACGTAGATGAGTTGTGCTTAACACTGTGTGATGATGATTTTTTTCTGCTCTTTGCAAGGTCAGTGACTAAGATGTGATTAAAAGCTGTGGGGGAAGGGGCATTTCACTAGCTCACATGCAAACACACTACATGCATGTGTATATGTGTGTGTGTATATATATATATATATATATATAGAGAGAGAGAGAGAGAGAGTCCCACCTGGGAGCTGCATAGCACAGTCACAGACTTTACTGTTGGCACTGACTAGGAAATGCGATCCTGACAAATTTGGTTGGGTGACACTTAGCTATCCAATCTAAATGTAGAGGTAATAAAAATTTAAACTGCACATGATCACATATTCTATTTTTCAACTTTAGACAGAAATGAAAATAAGATTTTAAATGTTTTTTGTTTTTTTTTCTTTCCTTGTGAATGGAGCCAAACGCAGGCGGAAATTGTCTGGAGATGCTCCCTTGACAACCAGCCACAGCTGTAGTTTGGGTGTGGTTTGGTCCCAAGTTCCACAGACAACTTACACCTGTGACTTCTCTATGAGACACGTAACCCTATATTACCACCAGCTAGGAGAGGCTGACTGGCAGTAAAACTTTGTCTAAATCTGGTTTGGTCAACTTTGATGACTCAGATTTTCTTTCATTCTTGCAGTAAAAAAACTGAAGCTAAGATTATTGCCAAGTTACAGTATTTATTTGTCAAGCACAAGAGGACACAGGCCTGGATGTTTCCATTCTCTGCTGGTTTCATGTTTCTTGAATGGAATTGTTGCTACCACACAAGTATACAAATACAATGTGTTTACCAGTTTGCACCATGTGACATGAATAACTAACTTTTAATGATCGACAGGCCCTTGGGTGACCTGGATTCCATGTAGTTATTTAACTTGAATGAATTCTACTTAGTAAAACATACTAATCAATACACTTGATTGATTATTCAGTCAAGTGGAGGGCACTGTGACTCAGTAATGTGGCTTTTTTATGGGGCAGTCAAGTGTCATCTCCACAGATAATACACATGAGCACTTGGCTCATCTTTGCCCCAAGAGTCTATTGAAATGGACATGAAACGCTGGTTATAGCCACTTTACATGCTGCAGTTACCAGTGAGCCAAAGGGGTACAGCTCTCTAATGAGGCATCTTTTATACACGGTATGTAAGTTGTAACCAATGCCTTTATAAATGGTTAATTTACTTATATTTATAGATCAGTCAGAAGGAAAAGTTTCAGGTTGCCAGGTTGTGGGAAATACTCCCCAGTATGACTTTGCTTTATCGTTATAGCTCTTTAATTCATCATGAAGCATGGACAGTTCAATGGGCCGTTCAACTGGACCATCCATTTATACCTTAACATTTAAAGACTTGATAGATTGTGTTAGAAGTGTTTTTTTTGTTTTGTTTTTTTTTAAAAAACCTCTTAATTAGAGGAACTGATAGACAGTTTCAAAGTAACAACAATGTTCAATGTTTAATCCTTGATCTGTTTATTGATCAGTGAATACACTAAGAATGTTTATTTATAGTAGCCATAACCAGCTGTGAAAACCAGTGGACACCAAGTCTGTAGGCCATTTGAAAGAAAACTCAATTTTATATTTTCACTGATTTATAGGTATATGCAGATTGTCAATGAAACCCAGATGGAAAAAAAAATCTTTACATATGAATAGACAGTATTTTAGTTTTATTTCTTTTATTTGACTGGTATTAATTGTGTGTGTGAATAGTGAAACAATATTTTTTACAACCATGACCTGTTCCATAACATTATTTTGAATGATTTTCACTTTTCAGATTTGTACATCTTTACAGGAGCCTGTTCATTTTTATTCTAAGTTTGGTTCTGGCAGCTTTATAGGCTACTTTGTTAAATTGGCAAAATGAGAAGTCTGCCAAAAAAAAAAATTACCATGCATGTGAAGTAAGGACAGTTTAAAATGGAGGGCTAAAATTTAGAGATGACAGCTTCACCACAGAGATGCAGCTTTTCCAAAATGAAACCATGTTGTTCCACTGCAGTCAGTGAACAGTGATCATCTTCGTTTTTGGAAACACTGCGCGGTTGGTAGACAAATTATTAGCACCGTTTTCTCTGTTGGGGCAGTCTGCCCGCTTGCCCCCCGCCATCACCACTACCACCACATGCTCAATGGGGTGGAATATATCTGCATGAAGCCATGAGGCCATCTGGTGACGCGGAACAAGTGGCATTGCCAAAAAAATTAAAAACACGAACTTAATCCGGCCTCACACAGTCGCCTCACATTCCGGCTCGTGCATGACACAGGGCTGTTTGAATCTGTCACATTGACGTTGGGCAGAGGCAACGCCTCCCAAAAACCCCCCGCCAAACAACAGAAGACAAACCGCTGTGAGACGACAGAGCCGCAGTATTTGGGTCGCAGTGAGCAGAAACCAGCCCATGTAAAGCAACATATGCACACGTGAGCGCGCTGCCAGCCATGCGTAAATGCCCAACTTGACTGAATGCTGCACTAATAGATTTAAGCCCCCCCCCCCGCCCCGCCCCTTTAATCTCCAGACTGAGATTATTCTGATTATTTCTAGTGACTGATGGATAAACGGGAGTCATTCTCTGCGGGTTGATAAATGACAGATCAGGCGTATACAAAGGGCTCTGTGAGTCGAGACGTCGCCGTTGAGGGATGATGTAGAGAGAGAAGGAGGGAGATGGTACAGTAGGTTCTGAAGAGACGAGGGCGGGGTTTTCCCTCCAAGATCAGGCAAACTAAAATAAAATTGGCTTCTCGCTGCCGGCGCATGTACTGTAGACTCTATACGGACCAACATAAGCCTTGTACAGAGAGGGAGGGAGGAGAAAGGATGGTGATGAGGATGCGGTCAGAATAGCGGCTCTCCTCTTTTCATGTCATCTCACCTCTTTCTGTGAAGCTGTGAAGCTTTTGATCCCACTGTTTCTTTAAGCCGCAGCTGCTGCTTGAGTGTCTTGCTACATTTTCATATTTCTGTGCGCCTTCACCGATCTGTATAGCTTATTGTATATCCACCATCATCATCATCATCATCTGTAACCATGTCGGACTCTGAGGACATGACGGAGTTCGCCAGCATCGTGGAGCGGATCGAGCGGGGAGAGGTGAGTGTCATCCGGATGATTTACGGTTCTTCTGACAGCAGCGGTCTGTCTGTCAACGTGCTCCGACAGCAGCAGCGCCGGGCCGGCCTGCAGGGCTGGCAGAGGACGGACAGGGATGCTGACTAACCCAGACCTCTGCCTATTCTATTCTATTCTATTCTATTCTATTCTATTTTATTAAGACCAACATTTTATATTCATTGATATCATATTGTATAATGTGGCCTTTTACAGCATATAATATTACTATCTACACTCTATTCTGATATTGTGACATGATCAGAATTAATAGATTATCTGAATTGCCTATGGTTAGGTCCACACCTTTTCTATTCTATTTCTGTAACACGATTTCAAATGTCTGCCTCTGCTATTGTAATCATATCAATACAAAACCTATTCAGTTCATTTCAATTCCATAAACCATTTATATATTACATTATATCATATTGTAATATGAAGTAATTATATCCCTCCATATATCGTAGACTTTGAGTAGACATTGTATTGAGTAGTGATAGACTTACTTTTTTTTCACACATTCTATTCTATTCTATTTTATCTTATAATTTAGCCTGTTATATTATTTTACATTATATTATTAAGTACTGATATATAACCATAACTCTGTTCTGATATTGGAAGAATAGAGAAGAACAATTTTTTTTCCTATTAATAAAAAATTGAATAGCTTAACCTATAGATAGCCCCGCACATTCTCTGTTCTATTCTGTGTCAGTGCTTTGTGGCTTTAAGGCACAGGCTTCTCTTCTATTCTTAGGAGGAAAAAAAAAACGTGAACATAAAGAGTTTAATTAGAGGCTTCAGTTGCTGAGTGTGTTGGTAGTTAGATAGTGCTGCAGGCAGATCACAGACTCTTGTCAATATGCGGGACACTTGGCAGCAGCTGTATGGTGAGACAGGGAACCGGGTTACTGAGGTGTGTATATGTGTCTGCATAGGGAGGGGGTCGTTACCCTTTTCACCCATTTCATACTGACAGAATGTGTTGAAATGCACCTCCCCATGCTCATCTCTGACATTCATCCATGCATGCATGAGGTGTGTGTGTGTGTGTGTGTGTGTGTGTGTGTGTGTGTGTGTGTGTGTGTGTGTGTGTGTGTGCTGTGTCTGTCTGTCTGTGTTTCATGTGTTTCATGTGTCTGATGAAAAAAAGATCAGATTGTACACACGACTGACTCACTAGCCGGCTACAGTTGCTGAATTCAGTGATATTTTAAAATTTAATTAGGCCTGTCTTGGACAATAGGCAACAAGGTTTACTCTTATGTCTGTAGTGTCAGAATCATCACAGAGAATAAGATAAATTGAAATGCACATATATAAACACAACGTATACCAGTGGTCCTATTGTGAGCTTTTCATTGTTGAGTTTCTGTCTGTAGGTTACAGTAACAGCACAGCAAGAGACTGTACAGACATAATTTACCCTTAAGTATGTTTGTATTGATAGTATAAAAAGTGAATATGTGTCAATAAATTTCTAATAGCTGCATGAAACAGTAAAATATATTCAACTGATTTGTTAAGTATTAAAGTTTGATTTGTCAAATGAACAATAAGTTCTTGTTTGTAAGGTTTTGTTGTATACCCAGAAAATGCACATATAGGCAGTGGTGGAAATTTAACATTTTTTGCTCTGAGAATGAAAATAGATAAAACACTGAAAATTATACAGACTTTGTCAGAGCCATTATGATGTTTTAGCAAGTAGACAAATGCCTACCCTTTTCCCTGTGTTTCGACTCCCATGGGTACTATAGGTCCCTACAGGCTGCAGCCACGGAATATTCAAGGGAAATATTTTACTGTTGAACAGCTGTGGCAGATATAGAAGAATAGATATAGAAATCTAGAAATGGATGGGACCTGTGTTGCTGAAACTGCCTGTATTGTTTGCTGCCAACAAATGCTGTTGGGAAAGTGAATAGATGCCTGCAGTGCCCTCAGTGACTGTGCACATTTTGGCCAATAGGCCTTGATTAATTCAAATACTTCATCCACTTCATTCTGTGCTGCTGCACACAGCTGTCTATGCTGCACTTTATTTCCTTAATAAATTGCAGCTCCCTCCCAAAACTCACAAAAGATGTTTCATGGTCCATTTGGTTCTTGAATGAAAACATTGTTGACTTGACCTGCTTGGGGGCCCTGATGGACTATAAGATGAACTGCAGACCTTACCAGTGGCCACTGCAGCAACTGATTAGCAGATAATAAATTTCTTGAAATAATGGAACGGACTCTGACATTAGTGGAGACTATAAAGCGAACAGAAGTTATGGCTTTCATTGGCCCCTTTTATAAAGTACAGAAACCTATGTTAGAGTCGGACACAGTAGCTTACTGTCAGACCAGAGACCAGAAAATCTAGTTAGCCTATTTTTATATAAACATTAAGCAAGATTGTGTGTGGAACTTTTTTATAGGTACTTACAGACTCTTCAGTCACAACTGTTATCAGCAGACCAGAATAACAAATGGACTTTAGGTCAGTCATACTGCCAACATCCTGCACTTCAGTCTCTGCATTATAAAACACACTTAACACATTATTTTTGCTGCTACAAGTGCAATTACAGTATTTCATGCTCAGCTCAGTTTTTCATTACAGCTCCCTTGTCCCCTCACTTTATTTGCAACAATTTTTGTTTCAGTGCACTCATGTTTTATTTTGTGTGTAACAGGTGCTTATGATGTTTACAGTATTGTAGTTTTTACCCATGCTAGGAGTGTGGCACTACGGATGGCAGCGTTGATTTGTCCACCACACAGAATGAATGAATGGTAATAACTTTGGTGAGCCCCTAATGTTTCCTGCAGCACCACCATCAGGTCAATTTTTTATTTATCCAATACAATGGTTTATAACAAAATACCTGCAAAATTAATACATTCCCATAACCCTCAGATGTGTTTTCTATTTACTAAATTTTAGCATAGCCAATTAACACAAAACTAAATGATGGACATGGTAGGCTAATAATCTGCTAACAAATCTGCATGTTAGCATGTGAACATTTACCCCAAATTACACAATAAAGTAGAATGAAGTTGAACTATTTGATCTATTCATCACTCCAATTGCACAATTGCATTTAACTGCCTGTAAAACGGTGCTGACTTTCCCCTGCGACTGATAAATACAACTAGCTGGATTAATGACTTAACTCAAGTTTATGTGGCGCACACGACGGCAGTGATCGTTCCTATGGAGATTCGACCCCTCCTCCTCTCTCTCTCTCTGTCTCTCTCTCTCCCACACTCTCTCTCCCCCCTCCTGTGTCTCTCCACCCCCCTGTGTCGGTCCGCCCGCTCGCCCACTGCAGCAGTGAATTGGCTGCTGATTCACCACAGCGCTGTCTCTCTCAGCAGCGTCACTCTATTTAAATTCACCCAGCCGTCCGCTGTCGGCATCCTCTGCTCGCCTCTGAGAAAGTCGTCGTTAGGCCGAACCAAAAAAAACGCCGGTTAAGGTGTTTTAACTCTCTCACGCACACAGGCTACACTTTCTCCCTCATCATGTCTGCAGAGATGCGGCGTAGCAGCACAACTGCGGTAAGTGGGAGAAGATGATTTAAAAAAAAAAAAAGTCTTCGACTCGTCATTGTTTAACAGCCTGTAGCTTCTCTCGGCTGTGCTTGTAAAGAGACCAGGCTCTGTAAAAAGTTAACCACAATTACCTAGCAAAGTTGTTACCTGCTGCTAGTTTGTGTCTGCTCTTAACTGTTTCGAGTAATTGTTTAATTTTTATGTGACACAGTTCGCTTTGAACCGGCTTGGGAACAGAGCTGTTTGCCTCTCTCTGTGTAAACTTCCTCTATGCTTCTGGGTATTGTCTTTTAACACGCGTGGAGGCGTTTGTCCCCTTTAAATGACTGTTTGTTCAAGCACAGAGAGGCCAGCCTTCGTTGGGGTGTTTTTTATCACCACCTGAAAGACATTAACTAATCAGTCGTTAAATATAGGAGGAAAGTTTCGGTCTTGAGCTTGAACAGTTGTTTTCTACTCATCTTTTAAATGTTAAAACGTGAGCTGCTGGAATCGTGTGTTTTACAGTTTGTCTATATTTAGCCGGGCTTAATCCTGTCTTATGTAATGTATCAGAAACATGGTAAAGACACTGTGGATGGCTGTTATTGTCACTATATGTGTTCCTTCAAAGCTATGCTCGTTAAGAATGAATACTCACCTGAATTTACTCACCCAACAGGCCAATGTTTCCCTGTCAATGACAAAGCAAAAAGGGTTTTCACAGCTTGAAGTGAAGACAATAGGTCTATTTTAGCTGCATTTAAAATATCCTAATAATAGGTTGTTGTTCTAACAATCAAAGAAAGCTGTATCCTCGCATACACACACTGAAGTTGTCATTTTCGTCTTCGTGTTCACCTTCTGTTCTTTCCCTCATTCTACCTTTCAAAGGATGACAGCAGTTGTGGTGGTGTCTCATACAAAAAAACCCTAAACGTAAAAGTACAATTTAACAAGTGTCTGTACAGTAAGCATGTCTCCATCACCAGGTCCCTATCAAGAACATCGAGAGGGAGCTGATCTGCCCGATCTGCAAAGAGCTTTTCACCCACCCGCTGATCCTGCCCTGCCAGCACAGCGTCTGCCACAAGTGTGTCAGAGAGCTGCTGATGCTGAACCATGAGGACTCTTTTGATGCCGGCTCAGAGTGTTCCCTACCAGGCAGCCCCAGGTCCAGGGTGCCCTCCCCCTCCATGGAGCGGTTAGACAGGCTCGTGAGATCAGGTGGGTCTCGGGGTAAGGAACCAGAAACATTTATTTTTCCCTGTAGAGCGAATAAATGTGTTCTTTACAGGAGGACTTTTACAGTTTACAGACGTGCAGGGAATTGGATCTTGAATTTCTCCAAGGTTAAAGGCATTTCACAACAGCGTGTTGAGGCATTAGTAGGAACTGTGCTCATGCTGTTGTGAGGCATGCCGGTCAGCCCGATTATCTGTGTTATGTGAGCTGATGAAAGCTAATAATAAAGTAATTACTGCACAGGAAATGCGAGTATCAAACGCATCTTCGGCCATTTGCTTTTAGCTTCCAAGGAAGGCTATACTAGTTTTGTGTCGGTAAAGCCGACTTCCTCTTTCATTGTCTTCCTCCCGATTCCCTCAACTTCAGTATTTAGTTCTGCTGTCATCTCTGCAGCTGCATTCCACAGGTGGCTGGATCCTGGGATATACCTCCTATAGAAAAGAACAAAAGGTTTTAAAATATTTCTATTGTTTAAATAGAGACTGAAGGAAATATTTGATTCCCTCGCAAGTAAAATGGGTGTGAACAGGATTTCATGAACCAATAAGCAAATCTTTAGCCAATGCAAATTTAAGGTTGACAGTGAATAGGCTTCATGGAAACTATGAGCAAGACAAAAAGCATTATTGTATGATATATGGGCAGACACCACCCCTCCTCCCTCTCTTGTCCTAGATAAAGTAGAATAAACATAAAAATGATTTGATAATTTTACCTCTCAGCTATGATAATGTCAGTCACAACGTCTTGTTTTAATCCTGTCTGCTTTTACAGGCTTCATTAAAGAGACAGCAGAGGAACTTGACAAGCTGTAGTTTTGTCTACCAAGAGAAAAGAAATGTTGACAAGCTCTCTCAAGCCCTAATTGTCTTCACTGTCTGCCTCCAATGGCCCAGGGGCATCAAACATACCCTTCAATCATGCAGAGACTCATGTATTCATTCAAATGTTTTAGGAACAGAAAGAAGAGTAGCTATCACCTTTAATCAGATATACAGGCGTGTGTGTGTCTTTATGCACACATGAGTGAACAAAGCACATCTGTAAGCTCCTTTACGGCATTTTAAACTCTTAAATCCAAGCTGAGCTGGAGGGAGGGAAAGCTGTGGATTTGTCACATCATTTTGAAGTTTTCTGCTAAACATGTGGCACTGCTGCAGCCAAGCTTGAGTAGGTCAATGTCTAAACCTGGGAAACAGCATGGTGGGACACAAGGCTGCCTTTCTGAGAATTCTGGGCTGTAGGCCATTTCCATAAAGATGTTGTCTCATTTGTACTCTTGTCCACTTGTCTTGACAAGACCAGAGCTGTGTCCGACTTCTGTACCACATACTAATTCTAGGCAGGTTTTGAGTATGTACTGGAAAAGGGACAACATTAAGTAGTCAAAATGGTCAGTATGCATACTAAAAACAATTTTCTTTTTTGAGCTTAACATTGGTGTACATTTTTGTCACACAGTGCAAGGCGCAAACAGAACAGGTGCTACTTTATGATGCTAAGACAGCTACAAAATATCTAGAAAAACAACAATATAAGTATGTTTGTTGCTCTCTTTGTTATGTGGAATTTAATGGAGGTAATGTCCACCAGTGCTCATACATCATTTTATGTTAATATATGGATTAGTAAACTTTTTTACAAAGCGCAAAAGCAGTAAACTATGAGAATTGGTATATAGTCCTGTTGATAGTGTAAACAATTAGTATGTTGTATGGAAATGGAAACTCGGGATATGGCAGAGTGGACATAAATAGCTACTACAACACCAACATTAAATGTTTTACTTTTGCTCTAACACTTTGAATGCATTTTTAGGTTTGGTGCTGATGACAAACACCTTGTATGTTCAGTAGCTGAGTCTGAAATCACACCACATACTTATTCTAATCAGGGTTTGAGTCTGTGGTGTGTTCACACTGGGAAACTGACAAAATAAAGTGTACTTATGTAAACTCTACTATATGTACTATTTGAGTGTGTATTGTTGTTGACTAATGCACAAAGGAAACTGAGGAGGTGAAAAAAATAGTGGGTATTGTGAAATTTTTGTTGTTGGTGTAAAACCGTTATCTTGTATAGTTACTGAACAAACGGTACACAACAAAAACTAATATAGTTCATACACTATTGTATAGTGGATTTGGGACACATCAAGTGATTTGGTGTTACCTATCCATTTAACTAAGGTCCTAAGTAACCTCAGAGCAACACTGAGAATCTAAACCAGAAGACCAGGGCTAAAAAGATCCTGAGTACATTGAGGTGAACAGCTTTTTGGGAGTTATTCAGCCATGGTTCAGAACCACTGAGTCTGGGCTCTCGAACACAGCCTCCCTCATTCAGACTCACCCCCTCCTTCAACCTGAATGAGTTCATTCTTCACTGGCAGGACTGCATCTGTTGACGCAGGAATAATCAAATCCTGCTTTTGAGTAAACAAATCTCATGGCAGTTTGTGCACAAGGGCAACTCTTGTGTCAGTGCTACTTCAACATTCTCATTTTGAAATGTAAATTGATGAATCATTTGTCATTTAAAGTTTGTTGAACATACACTTATTTTTAGAAGTTTCTCATATGAAGAAACTTTAAGATTAGTCGGTTAACATGAGCTATTAACAGATCATGTACAACTGGAATTCGCTTGAGGATTATTCAGGTTGTTCCTGTGTTTAAGTGCAGTTAATCAGCAGATTACAAAACACAAATAATCAGTGTGTTTAGGAATATTTAAGAAACCTTGAAGGACGTTATGAGCTTTACCTCCAAAACAGAAGACCAGAGTAATTCTGCAGACCGCCTTCAATACTGGGAGATCAGATCATTGGTAGTCATGGTGACACAACCTGCCTGTAAGGAATGAATGAGGGATTAGGTGAAGGGAGAGACAGAAAAGACTTAAGGCTATATTTATCAGTGTGCAGCTTGAACAAGCCTTGCTCTGCTTGGGCAGGGGAAGGCAGTTACTAAAACTCCATCAGTTTCTCAACTCCATCTTATTTTGTGTTATTCAGGCTCAAACAGAGCACAATGCCTTTATGTTCAGTTAACTCTTGACAAGTGCACTTCTAAGTTGGTGTAAGTGTTCATAAATTAACAATTTGTCATGTTGGGAAATGTGCTTATTTTTTCTCTTGCCAACAGTTTGACAAGGTTGATGCCATTCATGTATGTATGTATGTATGCTAAATGTGAAGAAGGGTAGTTAATGTTGCTATGCCTGTTTTTCTGTTCTCTTGCAGCACATATGCAATTTACTTTAACAACCGTGGCAGATTTACCATCTAAAATCTGTTAATTTTTTAAACAATGGCTTCTTAATATTAGAGAAGAAGCCTGGTTTTGTCTACCTCAGTCTAACTATCGACGATTTCCTTTTTCTTTTAGCTGAAATGACAACTATCACTGGTAGATTTTTATCAGCTGTAGCTCTGTGAATTGGTTAAATGCTGTGTACAGCTGACTTTTTTTAATGTTTCTAGGTAATTTGTTTTAAAACAGGATCCATGTAAAAGGGCCTAAAATATGCTCTTGATGGCTACATCTAGGATATCTTGATTAAAGAATGAGGCTATAGCTGCATGTTTAAGGTGAGGAGTTTAGTGAATGGTCGATCTAGTTTGTTTAATCTGTACAAAAACTGAACTGTAAAAGATGTTTTCGCCTTTGAAAAGAACCAAGCTAGCTGTTTCCAGTCTTAATGGCAATTAAGTGGAACTAGAACAAAGCTATCTATCCCTGTGGTCAAGCTTCATATTTAGCATACAGACATGATCGGTTTTCTCATCTAACTCTCAGCAAGAAAGCAAAATAAGTGTATCACCCAAAGTGCAAAACTATTCTTTCAATATAAATTGTAGACCATAGATGTCTGGCGAGTACACTTATATCGCAGTAATGTAATTTTTCCAAAACAGTTCCAGTACTGAAAAGCTGTTTATATTCTGTTTAAAGTTGCATGGCTTTGTACTCGCAAGTAGACCATGCATGTTGATGGGTGCACAAATCAAGAGTTAATTGTACTTTAATAACTGTTCACATCCTGTACGTGTATTTTAAACACACTGTTTTGTATTTCACTCTGAACTGCATTACCACATTTTTTATTTTTTAACTGCAAGTTCTTTTTTTTATTCTTTTTATTTTACTTTTAAGTTGGCTTTGTTTCTCCAATGTCATGTTTTTTTTTTTTTTTTTTTTTTTTTTTTTTTTTTTAAAAAAAAAAAAAAAAAACTGGTCTCACACCTCACTTCACATTATGTATTGTTTCATTTTTCTTGTTGGTCTCACCTCACTTCTCTGTTCATTGCTTGCAGCCACAGTGCGAAGGTCGTTCGGAAGTCGAGGTAGACGCGGGCTCCGTGTTTTGAGTAGCTGTAGTGAGTACAGTGTTACTAGAACCCCTGTGAAACCCTAGTTTGGTTCTACCTTTTCTCTACTTAGTCTACTTTAGCTCTTTCAACACAACCATCCAAACTCACACCACTCATTAGATATAAAATAGATTTTTACTGTAGTTACTGCATTTAATGTTGAAAAGCATGCTATTAATTCATTGTTAGATACTAGGTAATAATAATTGAAATCTAAACCTTTTTAAAAAATGTCCACTGAGCATAAAAGCATTTTTATTTATTTATTTATTTATTTATTTATTTAAATTCAGTTTCACAAAGCATGTAAAGATGGTAATAAGATGAGTCAAAATTCTTCAGGTAAAACATTTTCTAACCTTGGTATTTAATTAAATTTCTAAGTAGGTTAGGAAAAAGAGAGGGCAACAGTGAAAACCTTAAAGCGATGATGAGTCAGCATACGAGGAGAAGTGGCATGGTGTGAAGTAGGAGAGATGAGAATCGAAGCGAGGTAGAGTCCTCGACAGGAAGGTTGGCAAGTGGCAAAAAGAAATTAAAAGGAGCCAAGACTAAATTTAGTGAGAAAGGGGTGAGGATGTTGCCTGGGAGTTGAAGTGGGACAGGAATGTGTGTGTCTGCCCTGACGCCCTGGTGTGTGTGTGTGTGTGTGTGTGTGTGTGTGTGTGTGTGTGTGTGTGTGTGTGTGTGTGTGGTGTGTGTGTGTGTGTGTGTGTGGTGTGTGTGTGTGTGGTGTGTGTGTGTGTGTGTGTGTGTGTGTGTGTGTGTGTGTGTGTGTGTGTGTGTGTGTGTGTGTCTCTCTCTGTACACTAGCTAAGCTTTGCATTCATTTTCGTAAAACATGGAGGCAAATAAAACTGCTTTATTGCGATGGAGAACTGTAGGTCTGTGTTGTTTCTGAGTTAAACACACACACATACTGATGGAAAACCTACAATATGTTTGGGCTTGTGAAGATTCTTAACTGGCTTTTTCTGATTGATATCTGTGCCTTTAGGGTACTGTTAATGCTTGACTTGACAATCATAACTTTCAGAAACAGATTGTCTGAACACAGACCTGTTTCAGCTTACCTCTAATCATTTTCGGCATAATGAATTGGGACGTGTCAGATTGCCATCCAAGTAAAACAATCCTGAATACCATTTTCTTTTTAGTTTGATTAGGCCAATTAATGCAGTAATTTGACATGCTCAGTGGATGTTTTTAAGAAAAAATGTCATTATCTTCTTTGTTTAAAGCACAGGGGAGAATTTTGTCTCAAAAAACAACCTCTCAATACGAATCCCCTCCAGACAATAATAGACCTGGAAACTCAACCAAAAAGCAGTAAAAAAGGAAATAACACGTGGTGTCACCAATAACAATACAATCTTTAAAAAAGAAAAGCAGGAGAAAATGAGAAGTAAAGTGATTTTATTTATTTATTTTTTTCTTCAGCCTTTCAGTGAATGGATTAACATGTCTACAAACTTTATTTGCATAAGAAATGAGGAAACATTTCCTGGATTTCCCATTTATTATTCAATTTTTATACAAATTCTATTCAAACATCCCCCTCTGCAGTCACTGACAGAACAAAATGCAAATACTAATGTTTGGATAGGAAAATAACATTTAACAAGCCTAAACAGAACAGACTGACTGGAACGTAAAAATACTACTACATCAGTTCAGGCATCAAACAGTGTCCTAAGATTTGTGCAGGGGAGAAAAGCCAAGCCCTTTTTGCACAGCGAGATTGTAGCAGCGCTGCAATGACTCGTCAGTTTCTGCCTTCGTTCTGCCTCCCTCTGTAGATCAACACACACGTACACCCTTTGCTGCAGGCACCTCCTGTCTGCTTCTTGTTGGCTCACACCTGCTGTCCTGACCAGAGAAGCTGAGTCACTGTGCAACATCCAAACGTGACACACGAAAAAAAATACGTGTATATACGGTAGATGTACTTACTGTCTTTGCAGGGGTTAAAGACTGGCTGGAGTTCTTTTCATGTAGTGACTTCACTTGTTGTAACAAGACCATGTCACCTTCATCACCCTCATCAGACAGACGTTTTTCATCATAACATCACAATGCAATTTTAAATTCACCTTTGTCATATGGTTTCAGGTAGGAAGGGCAGTCGATATGTAGCAAACAAAGCTCAGTAGTTCAGTTTGCTGTCAGATCAGGCAGATATTGCCTCTAGGTAGTAAACTGTCCCTACACTGTCAGTCTTCAGTTCTGCTCATGTCACTCAGTCATACGGCATGCACATGGCTGCTTGTATCACATAATTTATGTTTGCTGTTCTGCCTCTGCTTTTCCCTCAGCTGCACCTTTTTGCAAAGTGCTGTTTTGAAATAGTTTCCCCGTATTTCGCTTTCCTGAGGAGTGTTTGATTTAATTTTCAGGTCCTCGGAAACGGAGTGGACATACTGGCTTGCAAACTGAGATAAATCCAGCACTCCTCGCTTCCCCTGTCCCCCACAAACGTGAAGCAATATTTTTATTTCTGTGTGTATTGAATTAAGTTTGCTGGCTTTAAGTGTGTGGTAACAGTGTTTTACAGACCCTGCTTGTGTCTGTGATGTGACCTTGTATAACAGATCCTTTTGTTTCCACCTCATGTTACTGTGTTGCTGCTTTGTTACGATGCTGCTGCATCAGTAACAAGCACGATATTGTGAGAAACTCTTGAAAGCAGTTCTGCTTTAAGAGGAGTTTTGTCATGTGGAAGTAAGTGTTGTTGCATTGAACTGGACATGTGATAATAAAGTTCAATTGCTAGAATTATTTATTTTATTTTTTTATTTAAAACTTAAGTTCTATTTCAGTGTAATTCAGTTGCATTGCTTGGTTTAAAAATTCTGGGCTTTGTCACATTGCCATACTTTTATTTTCTGTCTGGAATTATTTCCTTTTGTCCAGATCATTGTGAGCACTTAAAATACTCTTCCCTCCTGTGGTAAACATTGAGTGACTTGCAGTGTAAAACTGATTTCTCATAAAGACAATGTATTCTTTATAAACTCCAAGGATGCTATCCTCCCCATGACTATCCTGTATCTCATCATTCTTCCACCTGCCCCAGTAGTCTTGCACTGTCTCTCTTCCTGGACTTTATTTCTCTGTATGACAACTGCTCGATTATATTGCCTGGTGTTTTGCTCCATACATCCACGTCTCTATTGAGTAGTGGTCATTGTGGAAATAAACCATAAACGGAGACATGCTGAGGCCCTATTTGTGAAGGCTTGATATTTTCATACGGCTTATCAAAGGCATTTTTGTCTTTAGATCATACTTGGAAAGTCAATGCCGATGATGTAATGCAGCTTTTGTGAAACTCGGCCCAGAATCTGTTGAACACAAATGGGGCCACACATTTTTCATAGCCCCTCTTTGATTCTCTTGGAAACTATTCCTTCACTGTAATTTGAAGTCAAAGAACATTGTTGTTCACATGTCAAAATAGAGCCTCAGACAAGACTTGAAACTGGGTGACCCAAGGCCAGGAATCTATTACACATGATCTTATCTCACTTTTCCTCCTTTGCTCTCCTCCAGGCTCTATCTCGTCCCCGGGATGGCGCAGAGGGTCTGTGACTCCCAGAGTCACCACCATCCCATGCCCAGGTTGCCAGCATGACATTGACCTTGGCGAGCGCGGCATCAGCATGCTGTTCCGTAACTTCACCCTGGAGAGCATTGTTGAGCGCTACCGCCAGGCTGCCCGTGCTGCCGTGGCAATCATGTGTAACATCTGCAAGCCTCCACAGCAGCAGGAAGCCACGAAGAGCTGTATGGACTGCAAGGCTAGCTATTGTAATGAGTGCTTCAAGCTGCACCACCCATGGGGCACGCCCAAAGCTCAGCACGAATATGTTGGTCCCACAACGAACTTTAGACCGAAGGCAAGTGTCATCACTGGTCATCTTTTTCTGTATTTCTCTGTGGTTTCCAAACACCCAAACAAACTATTCATTCAGTTGAACTATGAACATTCTGAGGTGATAAGATGTCACATGAGTCAAAGATAAACATAAGCAAGTATAGATTTCTTTTAAAAGGTTGAATGGATTAGAAATGTTTACTAAGGATTCAGATGTTGGTGAATGTAAACAGCTTGAAATCTGTTACTGTCAGGTTATATTGATCATTAATTGCTAGCCAGCAATGTCTCTTAATTGAGTGGCCGTCCGACAATTTGATTCACTGATCTTAGAATACTTTAAAATACTCTCAGATGAACTTCTGATGGGGATTTTGGCAGAAATTCTATTTCAAGACGCTTCAGGAAATGGCTCACAGAGAGCTGTCTAGATGCTTTTCAAAATATGGGTCATCTTCCTGTTTCACTTCAGCTAGTTTTTGATCACCGACGTGTAAAAGAAACCTGCATCAGCCTGTACTGTCAAACATTGCAGTTATGTGTGTGTATGTATTTGTTGGTGTAATTTTAAGTCATTTGTTCTGTTAAATATCCCAGGTGCTCATGTGCCCGGAGCACGAGATGGAGAAGGTGAACATGTACTGTGAGGTCTGCAGACGACCTGTGTGTCACCTCTGCAAGCTGGGAGGATCCCACGCCAACCACAAAGTCACCTCCATGAGCAGTGCCTACAAGATCCTCAAGGTGACACAATCAGACGCTGTTACACTTTGAGAACAGATAGTTTGGCTACTGTGTGTGATTGTTTTGTTATCTGCAATAGCTAACACAATACTGGCTTATGATAACAAGGATTAAATTGAAGCTTGTATACAATGCCACTGTTAGTCAAGGCCTGAAATAGTCATGGCCAAGCAAATCAGCTTTGCTACTTGAGCTTATTCATGTTTTTACACTGAAAATGCCAATAACAACTGCTTTGTGATCTTACTTAGTAGGTTACAATTGTACAATTTACAGGCCTTTGTTGTTATATGATGCTACCCCCCCCCCCCCAGAAGTTCAGTCTAGTGTCACTAGATGTACATAACTGCATTTAATAACCTGAAACTGAGTAAAAGCCTTTTGATGAGTAACATCCTCCCATTCGGTGGGATTAGTTGGGCTATAGCTAATCTATTTAACAAAACCTTAAGGGCAGGGTTTTTGTTGTGCTGTGCCACCTGTGGACTGCTCCCTGAATCTCTCATCTGCTGCTGTAATATTAATGCCTGACCTGTACCTGTACCTGTGCTGGCATGCACAGACACTGGACTGTAGATATAAATCTCTCTTTGTTGGAAACCGAAACCCAGGCTGGCTAAGCGGGTTAAAACTAATTGGACTCGCATGTGGTCATCAGTAGAATTAATTTCAATCAGTTTGAGTGTTTGGTTTAGCTTCTGTGCATCTTGATTGTGTTGTGGACGATCTGGTTGCTATAACGACACTAAGAAACACAAAAAAAACATCAAACCTTTGACAGAAGATGTTTAAAGTGAAATATATTGAATAGTAATTTAATCTTGTTGGCATGGGCACTCCAGCTTAGTAGACTTGATGCTTGGGGGTTCAGCAAGTCGAGGCAGAATCTGTATGTAATTCAATCTGCTGGTCTGTGTTAACACAAACACTATTGTGCTTAATATTTAATGAGACCATTTGTTCCCCATGATTTTGTGTGCACTGTATCTTCAAATTGTTGGAAGGCGTATCAGATATCCTGAACAGTCCCGGAAACCTTTGTCATTCCGGAAGTAGTTTGGTCATATCATGAATGTTGTTTGACATGCTGCACCCACTGAAACAGGCTGCACCCACTGAAACAGGCTATCACACTCTGCATGTATCCAGAACTTTATATGCATCTGGGAATACTGCAGGTTGCAGCTGCAGTCATGAATAATGTAAGATGAGAGGAAAATGTTGTGCTCACATTCCCAAACTTCAGCTCTAACATTAGTAGAAACTGATAAAATCCCACTTGATTCTTTACAATAGCATGTATTCTGATGACGTTTTGCATGTATGCCTTAAATCACAGTTGTGTAAGTCATATTGTCTCGTCTCGGTGCTGTGTCCATGTGTACATGTTTCAGATTTAAAGACCTTAAGAAATCTGCTGCAAATTCTGCCTATCCTTTTTCTCACCAGGAGAAGCTGGCCAAGAGTATCCATTACCTCATCAGTAAAGAGGACCAGGTCAGGACTCAGATTACTGAGCTTGAGGTGCTCATCAATCAGACTGAGGTAAGAGAGCTGACTCATGCTGCTGCAAACGCCAACATCCTTTTCCCACTCTACGCCGAAAAGAGTTTTTACTTGATTTTCAAAATCAAAATAATTTTTCCTTCATTTACTGTCCTTTTTATCCCCTTTTATTGCCCTTGATTTTTTTTTTTTTTTTTTTTTTTTTTTTTTTAACCAAAGAATGAAATTGGATTTAACAACAGCATACAACTCATTAATCAACAGGCAAAATGACTGGATTTAAAGTTTCTTCAATCCATTTTCTGAATAATGTAATAGATATTTTATATTTAAATATTTTTATTCATTTCCAATTTTAGACCTATCCTTTCAGGTCTCCAACTTCCCCTCTACTCCTGCTTCTTAAAGAGTTGTCTTAACATTTCTTAATCTTTTCTAACCCTGTGAAAAAATGGTAAATCACAACTCTCATCCCCCCTTGAATGTAACACACATAATGAATATGTGTGTTAATCCCTGTATATACAGCTTTTTTTCTTTTCTTTTTTGTTTTTGTTTTACAGAATACAAATATTTATATAGCTTTCTCAAAACCAGTCTGTTAAGTTGAGGAACAATTACATGTCTTTGTGTACGAATAAGGAAGGTCACTAACCAAACAGTATGCAAACCACACAAACAAGGAAACACAGGATTTGCTGACGAGGTCCCTCATGCATGTCTGGGTTTCAGACTGAGCTTCTTCCCTCTTTTCTTTGATGCTTCTCTGAATGGATAGTGTTTAAATGAGCTACACTTTCATTGTTTATAAGAGCAAAGTGTGTGTGTCTAATATAGATGGTAGGATAATAGGATAATCATCTGAAAAAGGAAGTGTCACTGTGTGAGGTAAACCTTTAGGCTTCTACTTAAATATTAAGCATCTGTCAAACAAAGGTATAAATACATCAATTAACATAATAATGCTGAATTATTATAGTTGAATCAAGTAAAACTGTACCTTTTACTGTCTGTTTCCTCAATAGTCTTGTGAGGAGTAGAAAAGATGACAGCAATCATCACCCATCAGATAGTTTAAAATTGTACCGATAATGATTGTGTCTTGTGACTGGCAACTCTGAAGAAGTGTTTATGTAAACTACAGCCTATATATTGATTTAGGGAGGGAAATATGAAAAGAGAATTTGATTTAGTTTGCACAAATTAATGTCAAACTTGTCTCCTTCATAAAGGAAAATGGCCAGCTAGCAGAGCGTCGAGCCAACGAACACTTTGAGCGTCTGTTTGAGACGCTGCAGGAGAGGAAGTCAGAGATGCTGAGATCTATTGAACAGTCTCGTAACCGACGCCTGAACCAACTCAAGGGCCAGGTATAAAATACTAGGACTGAATTTCATTTCTGTTGTTTATCCTCTACATGTATGCATGCTTCTTTACTTACTGTATTCTTAGCTGTGGGCAGGGGTGAAAACAAGCCTATCTTTAAAGATGCTGTTAGAATGACTGCAATTATGAAATGCAATGGCTTTTTATTAATATTTCCCAGGTGGAGGAGTACCAAGGCATGCTGGAGAACAGTGGTCTAGTGGGCTACGCTCAGGAGGTGCTGAAAGAGACGGACCAGTCCTGCTTCGTACAGACTGCAAAGCAACTGCATGTCAGGTACAGCTGGGTGATACTGGCTTAATCCTTTTATAACAACATTTTTGAATCAATACATTTATTTAGTCAATTCAGACAAGGAAAACAACATGTATGGAGTATTACAATATTATAAGGAAAATCCTACTCACTTTTTGATATTAATGATGCCTACAATGTATTGGCATGTCTGGTGCCATTAATGATGTACATAGAGGTTTGCAAAATAAGCTAAAGGCTAGCATCAATAAATACATTTTCACAAAGCAGTTAGTGACTTACAATGTTTATGGATCATTAAAAAAAACAGGATATATTTAAATTGTTGTTGTTTTAAAGTAATATTTAAATGGGGAATGTGAATTAAATAGAATTGTCATCACCTACAAAATTTTATCATAAAACTTAAGCATCAGTCAATTAGAGGGACATAATCAACAACATTACCAGTGCACTGAAGCCTCTCTCTGGTGTCTTGAAGTTGTCCTCCTTCAACCTAATAACAGGATGCTGGGCCAAGATGGACAGTAATGGTTATTCATAGCTTTTACCCACTAAAATCCTGACTGTAAACTGTCAAATTAATAATTCAGCAGGTTACTACTCATTGCTTGATATAAATTCATTACAGATTACAGAAGCTAAACATTGTTTAACAAGCTCCACAGTCACCGACTGAAATCTGCTATGACTCTTTTCGTGTTGTCCACATACATCATTAGCGACGCCTTCCTGTTTCCAGTGGGATTTGGTCAGTTTTATTTTAGTGTTCAATCTGATTATGTGTCTGAGGGACTGGAGTGTGTCAGGAGCAGACAAAACCACGTGCAGAGGTTACCAAACTCAAGGGCAATTAAGGAAAGACTTGTGCAGTCAACACTGTCTTCTGCTCTAAGCTTAATCTCCATTAACAGCTTTGGATAATCAGGGAAACTTTTCACTCCCAAGAGCATGATACTGTGGCCTTCAGTTTTCTCCTGTTGACAAACACTTGGTTTTTAATCCCCTGTTTCACATAAGAAAGATAATATAAATATAGATACAGCTGACTATTATACTATTAAAATTATGTTGAAACATAATATAATTGGAACATAATATAACTGAGAGGAAAAGTCCTCCTGCTATGAATAGCAGTCTGTGTCCTTGTTATATTGAGCTTACAAAAGTGAGTTTAAGTTACTCAGAATCAGCCTCCAGTGATGGCAATTTTATCATGTTATATCTGTCTTGTGTGTCTTCAGGATCCAGAAAGCTACAGAGTCTCTGAGGACTTTCCACCCTGCAGCCACCCCCTGCTTTGATGAATTTGTGCTGGAAACATCCAAAGAAGAAACTCTGTTGAAAGAGATGTGTTTTGGTGGAGGTATGACCAATTTTATTTCAGTTAAATTGTGTGAGGTGAAAATAAACATGCTATTTTGCTCACTATTATTTTTATGCTCCATGCCATCATCTTCTCAGGAACACTCTTGCATCTTTACCAAAAGCAAGGTTCAGAAATTGAATGTGGGTTAGGGTTGGGGTTTGAAATTTTGATCCATCAAACATGTTTTACAGACTTTGTGAACCTTGTTTTCCAGGGCGTTCTGTGCTTTAATATTCTTCCATTGATGTGATGTTTGGTTTCCACACATCATGAGTTTATCAGGAAAACATGGTGATGTTTTCTACTTCTATTCAGCTTTGAACATGAAGACCCTGTGAACTGTGCTGTGCTAAAAGGTCAGAGGTCATCTGTGGGCAGCTAAATTGGATAAACAGGTAGAACCCTGGATATAGTCAAAGCAGATTTTGCTCCTCTGTGAAGCTTTGTTCTGGTCTGCTCGTTTACAGAGGCTTGTTATATTAAGGACTCATCAGGTAGAAGTTTCCCAGGGATGAATGGATACACACTTTTTTGATTTTGAGTCTTTTTTTTTTTTTTTTTTAATAAAAAAGAAGGATTATTCCACACACTATTTTAGATTTACTCAGTTTTATGAGACCATGAGGCAAAAGAGCAAATTGTTGCTGACTGATGCACAAGCAAGAGGACCATTCATGTGGCCAATGATAATTCGTCATACTGTCAGTCCAGATACAATAATTTTTCCAATGCAAACTTGAAATATAACAAATAACAAACTTAGAGATATTTTAAGTTTGTCAGGTGATAAACAACAGTGTCCTTCTTTGTAAACCGTTCATTTTTATTCTATAAATTTAATCTTGAAAGTGTTGATGAAAATTTTAATTTATTTTGAGAATAAATATCTGTGAGCTTTAATAGCTGAGCCACTTGTTATGTTTAAAAATGTAATCAGACATAACAAATAATCAATAAAAGCTGCTATTAGCAAAGGTCAAAAGTCCGTAGATAATCGAGCAGGTTGCAAAAATTTCTCGATAAGGAAGTGGAATCACAGAGGGTCACTGAAAGGTAACATCTTCATCAACCTAAAGGTGACAGTCTTTGGCTTGACTCATCAAGCAGCTGGACTGATATGCATATTGCAAAATATGGTCAAAACTTAGTCATTGTCAGATTAAGCTGTTTGCTACCATATCTAGAATTCAGCTTATATACTTATCTAAAGCTGGAGAATTGTACGTACTATACTGTAGTTATGCTTACTCTAATCGCCCATTATTGCATTAACGTAAGCAGAGCACGATATTTATATCGGATCTACTGTACTAACATTTATACCTTAAATTGGATGATAGGATTGGAGATCGGAACAGACTTGTTACGGTTGAGTGATGGTTGTCGACATTTGGCTGCGTGTGGCCGAGGCTCGTTTCAAATGCCTTTTTTAGTGTGGCTCGTATCTAATGTGACAACATCATGTGTGTCAGTGTCTGGGAGGGAGCGCAGTATTGAATATCATTGCAGATAGAGACAGTAGGTTGTGACACATTCAGTCATAGGAAGTCAATAACAGATGACTGGTGTTTGGGGCATCCTAAAATGTGTCACGCTGGTCATTGTCAACACAAGGCAAAGCTTTGAGTGGCAGCTGTGCTTCCAGACCTTAGCCTGACATTGTAGACAACCCTGAGGCCTCTCTTGGTGCAGAGACATTATTCCTCAAGTGGATGAAACTAAACAACTGACAGTTATTGCAGTGGCTGTTGGTGACAAGCAAAGCTGGGACTAGGATGAGTTTGTGGCTGTGGGCCTTTGTTGCAACACTGGAGAGCCCCCTGTTAGTTTGTTTAAAATCAGTGATGTGAGATTCATCTCGGAGGCTGCAGTTGGCTCTTTCTGTACGAATCATCAAAAGAAATGGATAATTATCAAATTACAGTGGAGTTGATGGTTTGATAAAGGAACCACTTTAAACCACTTTGCTAAATGGATAGAAAGTGCGTCTGTCACAAGTGATGCAAAATGGTGGAAAAAGTCAGGTTTTCCAGAAGTAATTCTTTGGGTGTGAACTTTTAAGATCTTTCTGGCCAAATTGTCATTGAATCATCAGATATTCAACGGACACAGTGAAAAAAGCAGTAGGATGTAATAAGGAAGCCCAAAAAAGTCACATTAAACACAAATCAGTAAACTATTCAATCACCACAACATAGTATGCAAAGATGACTTGAATTGTTTAAAGCATTCAGACAATTTATTAGCTGTTGATAGCAACTGATTTCACCATCTGTGACTAAATGCAAAAACTTATTACTTATTACAAATAATTGGTGTTGATGTTTCTATGAATGTTGTTGTTTTTATTTACAATTTTTGTAACAGTTGGTTATTTTCCTTTTTATTAGAATATTTTCATAGTGTTTAAACCAAATTAGCAAAAAATTAACATGTAATTCCATACAAATCAAGTTTGATTGTGATTTGTACTATAAATGGAGCTTAAACTTCATTGAAATTTTAACCTGGTAAAACTAGAAAATCTCTTGAATTGCTGTGTATCTATCATTCTTTTGTGGAGGTGATTTGTGTCAGTAACACTTTGAGACATAAACTGTAGATGAACAGTGTTACTACATAAGGATATTTCTAAATGGAAATAAATCTGCATCTTCCAATCCTCAAATTATTCTATAGTTCGTCTGTTCTGCAGTTTTCTTTTTGTTTGAACCATAACCTGAGATCATCCTGACCAATAATATTCACTAAATTGTTATTCTTAGAACTTTCTAAGAATTTGCTTATTTGGTTATTAATTCTCTTATGATGCCTATAGTGGAGAAAAAAGGTTTTTCATGTAAGAAGGTACCCTAAACGAATCAGTGCTGCATCACTTTTGGGAAAGTGCTGCATGCGGCAGTTGGGTGGCAGTCATATTGATGTGTGTCTTTTAATCTAAGTGGCCTGCAGGACTTGATGGTGCTCTTAGTTTGAGCTTAAAGAGAGAAAAGAAGCAGTGGGGGCATTTATATACTGCAGTAATTTAATTGAAGTCTTGGCAGCAGTGAGGAACCACTACAGTGTCTCTGAATAATACCCCTAAGCCCTCATAGATCCATTATACAGGAAACTGAAAACACATTTATGTTCAGTAATAAGGGTGTTTTGAAAAACTTGAGGTTGACTTTAGATTTATTTCTGCCCTGACTGTAAAGCTGTCCATTATTGTCCTTGATGAGTATGTTTTGTCCTCAGCTCAAGTGGCAAAAACATCAGTTGAGTGTGAAGTCTTATCTCATGATTGCCAGCCTTCCTGATGTATAATGTTGTATGTGTTGGATTTTGTTCAGTGCCTATAGTTTATCCATGCTCTTTTACGACATCCCTTCCTCTCTTGGATAACGGCGTATTTGTGCTCTCCCATGTTAACCCAGCTGTGCCCTTGCTGCAGGTTTTGACCCCATGCTCTGCTTCTCAAGAGGCTTTGAAAGACTATTTTGTCAAGTATAAATGCCCATTTGTGGTCCATTTCAATTTGGAGTTTCCTTAAAAATGTCAGGCTGAGAAGAGTGTTTTTCTCAACTATTTTCCACTTTAAGTCAGCCGTAATATGTTACAGCACAGGATACAGTTTATTTGAGCAGATTATAAGGAAGTGACAAGTTGAAAGTCAAATTCTCTCACATTTTCAGAGAGAGCAGTGGAATGAAAATGGACACAACAGAAAGCAGCTCCCTGCAGTGTAACTTGGCCTTGGTGCTGTCTGCCTGGCAGCAGCCTGTCCTGTATGTGATCAATAGTGCTGTTTTTTTGCTGAACTCTGGGGACTACAGCCTGCTGTGCTGGATGGCTGACCGCCCCATTTGGTCCATCTGTTGGAAATGGGTGGGGAAAAAAGACATGATTCATAAGACATTATATATAAGACATGTATCTCTTTTGTAATTTGTGATATACACTGGAGTTGTAACTCATTACTTTACTGCTCATCTGATATGAGGTTGAGGTGTAATTCTGTTGTTGCAGGGGTTAAGATGGGAGGAATTAAAGTCTTGAGTGTCTTGACTCAGGATATTTAGTTTTGTAGTTTATTTGAAAGGGATTGTTTCCAGTGGTCAACAGATGAAAATGAGAGGTTGCCTTTGCAAAAAGCTAAAAGGCACCCTAAACATCAAATATGAATACAATTGTAAAGTTCAGGCAGGACACCAGGAATGAGAAATGTCATCTTCTTTTAATCCTGCATTATCTAATAATGTACCCTCTATAATGTATCTGCTCAGTATAGTATGTTACCAGCATGGCATGTAATTGCACATGAAAATGTGTTGGGCTATAAAAGGACAGAAGCTCATGAAGGAGAGCTGTGCCACTTTGGAGACTGAGGATTAGCCAATTGACTTTGGAGAAAGCTCAGCAGTAGTAGTGACACTGGTCAGCGAGGGGAATCCGTCTCTATGGGAAAAGAGCTTTAGAAGTGGGAGTTATTGGAAATGTCAAAAGATGAAGAAAATGGGAATTCTCACAGGGAGAGTGTTAGATGTATAGAAAAATGTCTTGATTTTAGAGAGACGGCGACCTATATGGTGACAGTAATGTAGAGAGAGAACTGTAAATGATAAGGTAAGAGCAATCCTTACACAGTGGATGCGGCTGACATAAATGAGAGGACAGATGGGAAGTGGGCTGTTGGTATGAAAATCTAAAGTCAGAGCTAGACAGATTGATGCTTCGTAGGAAATCCTTTCAACCACCAATAGGAGGAAAAATAACAAATGTGAGAAAGTGGAATGAAAGGGAAAGTGGAAGAGAGGTGGTGGTGGTGGTGGTGCTTTGCAAAGTGCATTTCCTGACACTGAGTCTGTGAAAACCTCTTAACAGGCTCCATTATGTAAGATGGTCTTGTCCATTGTCCTGAGTGGATAGTTCTGATCCTAGCAAACCTAATCTTTGCTGCACTTACACGGCTTCATTTGCTTAAGCTCAAGTTATTGAGCTGAAGTACTGTACTTAGCATGATTAAGACATTTTACTGGAATTCCCTTGTGTTTGTAGTAGTTTTTCCATTTATGCATAAGGTCTGTTACATCTTGCTAATCACCACAAATGAGTTTTTCCGTATTAACCCCTGTCATGTGCAATGTGTTTAAGCCTGGACAAAAATGCATTTTATTGCTCAATTTTTGGCATTGCTTTGAAATTAAATTTTTTGTTGGCTGCATCTCTCTCTCTCTCTCTCTCTCTCTCTCTCTCTCTCTCTCTCTCGTTCGTACACGTCACACGTTATATTTTAGACCCCTTCTCTGTCACAGACTGAAAAAACACAAGGTCTACTTGTTTGCTTACCACAAATCATAATTAGTTGAAGGATGGCCTATGTTGAGAGTCTTGATTCCCCGATTACTCAGATTCTCTTCATTTTGCTAACTGGTTATCACGGTTTTCTTCTCTTTATGCAGTTCCAGACCCTCCTCTGATTGACCTGTCCCATAGCAGAGTCTATAATGAGGCCTCAATCTGCTGGAGGCTGTCTGATGATCATCTGCCAACAGATCACCACGTGGTTGAGTACCGCAGGTGGGTGCAAACACACAAAGAAATAACAGCAAGATCAACAGACAAGCTATTTGGTAAAATTTTTATTACTTGACTTTGATTTTCTTTTTCTCCAGACTCAGTGGCCCAGGCCACTCCCCATCCCAGGAGGACGGTGAGGACAGTGGGGTCTGGAGGGCTACAGACAGGGTGTATGGTCCCAGCACTGTGGTGTGTGACCTGGAGCCTGACAGCCTGTACTCCTTCAGGGTGCGAAGCTGCAGGAACTCCATGTTCAGCCCCTACAGCCCTGAGGTCACCTTCCACTCACCGCCTGCACCTGGTAAGCTGGGGATGTGGTGAAGTTTTCCATATAGTTGACAATTTGTTGCATATGTCTGCTCCCTGTTTTTTTTTTTTTTTAAGATCAATCAATACAATCTATGTCATTGTTGATGCCAAGTGCAATGTTAATTATGCACGGGATTAGGCTCCTGATTGTCGAAGAACCAGCCCCTGTTATTGGGCCTCTTTTGGCCAAGGCAACGGCTAAGCTCCTCTGTCCCTTTTTACTTCTCTGAGCACGTGTGAGAGTTTAGCATTTAGCACTGGGCTTGATTTTAGGAAGATTATCAGATGGCAGATGCTTTACTGTTTTTTAAATTTTGAATTGTCTTGTAGCCAGCATGCAGGAGGTAATGAAGCACAATGGTGTTTTAGTTTATCACCATGGTAATGGCTTTTGTTTCAGATGGCTGAAACCAATATAGCTTTTGTCTGTGTGTGGGGGTGGAGGCAATGTGACAGCTTGGACGAAGAAACCTGCAGTCGCATCTGTTGCTGGCATTTTAAGCTTGCCTGACAGACGCAAGGTGGAATTCATTAAAAACGATCATCATCCCCAACCATCTGCTGAACTTGAATTTGAATCATATTTTCCCAGTAGGGGACTGTATCACTTTGGTTTTTTATTCTGCCTAGCAATCATCCCATTCTATTTGTTTAGACTGCCTGTGTACATACCTGTCTACTCTAGGTATAAAAGTCCTTGCTGAGGTGTTTTCTGTAGCAGTGTCACATCCCAGAAATCACTACACGTTTTCCCCTTCCACGGCAGAGGCCTGCATCTGTTGCACACATGCATCCATGACATGTCAATCTCTGATCTGATATGGCTTTGTTTTGATTTGTGTCCTTGTCATTTGTGTTGTGATTGGAGCTTCCACATTCCTCTGCTCCCTGGTTCGTGTAAGACTGAGCGAACGGATTCACTGTGCATCAGTAATGAGGTGGAATTTCAGGCCAGGATGACAAAACATGCGCGCATGCACTCGCATGCACGCACCCCGTTACTCATGATGAATATGAGGGGACACAGTTGAGATTTAGACAACAAAGGGCTTCTTCAGACATCCTTGCACTTAAAATTATGTCCTTGTTTTTGGGCCCCCTGGCTACAGAACGCCCAGATTTCAAAGTTTTGTGGTCGTTCACTGTTTTCTGTCCCAGGTGCTGATAAGTCAACACTGACTTACTGTTAAAAGATCCCTTCAATAAATATCAAGGTCTAGTTAACTGCATGTGAAATTTAATATATAGTTGCTTTGGGACTAATTCAGTGCTGCATCAACCGTTTGCCACCATTTTTTGTATTTTCATTAAATGACAATAACATCATTTTACAGTACTAAGCAAATGGCAAAGGTTGTTTTGCAACATGGATGTAGGTATTTTCATATTAAAGATGAACTGATTCCAAATACAAGACGAATAAGATCAGCTGATCTGGTCCGTTATTTTTGATGACACAACCGGTGTCAGTGAGCAAAAATAATCAAGTCAGAATTTCATCATTATAGAAGCTTGTATGTGCCAAAAATGCATAAAAATAAGCCAGTTTACATATGTCTCTGACATGGCACTGCATTACATGATAGGATTCCAGTCCAGCCGGACAGGATGGCTGTCAGTATCAGTGCATCCCTACTACATAACTGCACATAAAGCTGCAGCATTGGTGGCTGTTCACCCTTTAGGCAGGCTTATACTATTATCATTATCATGCCCTAGTTAGTATAAGGACTTCCCTAGATGCATGCAAATTAACCGGTCTTCCCCAGTGTAGACCTCATATTGCATAGGATGGTTGAGTGAACAGGCATAATCATGTCAGCCTTCATGTATGCTGGATTATGGTAATTGTGGCCTTTGGCCAATAAACTATTTATAGAATGTGTTTAATTGCATCCAGATGACAAATATAAATGGCAGCTACACATAAGAAATGAGGATTGAGTTTCATTGCACTGTTATTCTTCATGGTGTGACGATAATGGCAAGTAGGTCTTTGTGTGGCTTTTTAAGATTGTGCTATAGCACCCCCATGTGTCAGCCTTGGGCTCCTACTCTTTCCTACCCAAACTGAAAACACAGGGAATAAACTATGTGTGTGTCTGTGTGTGTTCAACAAAATCACTTCTCCTGAACTTAATCTGTTTTTCTCCTCTTCTGAATTCTTTCTCTTGCTGTCCCCTCCTCTACCACTGTCTTCCGTTGTCCACCTTTCCTTTGTCTTCTCTCCCATTTTTCTATCCCCTGGGTCATTTGCCCACCCCCCCCCCCCCCCCAAATCTCTTCACATCCAGCTTTTGGTTTCCTGTTCAGTGATAAATGTGGCTTCAGTACAGAGCGACTCATTCTAAACAAGCGACGGGACACCGTGGAGAGCGTCGCAGGCATGGGCTTCCTCCTTGCAGCAGAACGTGTGCAGACGGGCAGCTATATTGGACTAGACTACATAATTGGGGACACGGGCATCTCTCAGGGAAGGTATGCCAAAAACAGACAAAGAAGCTGTGTCCAGCAGCATGCTTTATTTGCTAAATAACAAACTACTGTTGCAAAGTGATTAATATTCGATTTCTTTGAAAGGAAAAAAGGAATGCGCCGTACACACGTTAGCCATTTGTAGTTAAATCTAGGGGAAAATGACAAAACACAAGGAACACACAATGTGCTCATTAAACGAAATGAGAATATAAAATATTCAAGAGAGCAGAGATGGAACTTTATTTTTGAGCACAAGGTGGTAGGACTATTAAATTGTCATTTCTGCACGATTCTTATCAGGCTCCATTCAGACAGAGCGACATTCACTAATTACTTAGGAGAATTTTACACCAAGGATATATCGGAGGACAAATTAGAAAATAAGTGTTTCAGTAGGCAATGAATGGGTCATTATTATAATTTCCAGTAAAACCTGCTGTAAAGAATGGAATTGCTCTGTTTGTTTTGCAGACACTACTGGGCCTTCAAGGTGGAGCCATACTCCTACATGGTTAAAGTTGGTGTGGCCTCTGACTCAAAGCTGCTTGAATGGTTTCACAATCCTAGAGATACCAGCAGCCCCAGGTAAGTCCAAGCACATGTCTATAACACATGATTATCATTTACAGTTTGTCCATAATGAATAGACATTTTGAGCAACTCAAACCAAAATGTACAAAGTCTCTTTTTTTTTTTTTTCAACCGTAACATACCTGACTACACACAGACACACACAATCTCATTACAGCGATAAGTGTTTGAGTCACACCTAATCCTGTGATGTAAGAGAACCAGCATAAACTGGTTAAGAGCTTACTCGCAGACAAAGCCTGCCTCACTGGACCGGCTCATGTAAAAGCATGTTAAGGAACACATTCTTTATGCAAATACATTTTAAGTCTATGGTAAAATGGTGAAAAACATCAGGCAGCATTTAACCATTCATTAGAAGGCTGAGTATGCATTTTTCCCTTGTAAGAAAATGCCAGAAAAAGCATGCCCTTGTGAAATGGTTAACATGACTGTGGCAGAGACTATAGCTCTCAAATTTTACAGTAGAGATTAAATGATCAATCACTTAGTTAACTGACAGAAAACAAATAGGTATATAATTGATTCATTGTGCAGAATTCACAGTTTCAAACATCTTAAAATTTGAATATTTGTTCAGTTTTCTTTGTCTTTCGTTGATTGTACATTGACTGTATTTGTGTGTTTTGGCCTGTTGGTCAGACAAAACCAGTTATTTGAAGACATCATCTTAGGCATTTGGAAAATGTGATGGGCTATTTTCTCTACTTTTCTGTTATTTAATAGACGAAGCAGTTGAGGAAATAATCTGCAGACAAATTGATAATGAAAATAATCACTTGTTGTAGCCTTAACGAACGATGTTAGCCAGAACTCATTCTTTACACACCTGGAAATGAAATGGGGCAAATTATCACTCTTTCTGTTTTACACATGATTATGACACTGGCTTTGCCATAACTTTAAAAACATTTGATACAAACTTATGCCCTTGTGCACATCTATCCCCCTCGTCTCTTTCTTCATTCACCAGGTACGACCATGATAGTGGCCATGACAGCGGTAGCGAAGACACATGCTATGAGCTTTCCCAGCCCTTCACCCTCCTCACCCTGGGCATGGGCAAACTCTTCATCCCCAAGACCTCCTCATCTTCCTCTGTTTCCACAGCAAACGCATCGTCCGGTGACCCTAGTAATCGCATGCTTCCCATGCCACAGCGCTTGGGGGTATGCCTTGATTATGATGCATGCCGGGTGTATTTTTATGATGCCGACACCATGAGGTGCCTTTATGAGAGGCAGGTGGATTGTTCAGGAACAATGTATCCAGCCTTCGGCCTCATGGGCAGCGGCAAGGTTCAACTGGAAGAGTTCATCACTGCAAAGAGACTGACCTTCTGAAGAGGAATGGAGTATGATGATGCATTAGGACCTGAATCTATTTAATCTTTGGCATGTTCGAGGAAGAGCAGGTTTTATTGACAGGGTGATGGAGTACAATCCCAAACCATTTTTCCGAAGGTCAGGTGAGGCAGATGTGGTCAGGGCCTTTGGTCCGAAATGTGAAAATTGGATCTCTGCCAGAGACTGGCCTATTTAGACTTGGCATGTATAATGTATGACCGGCACATACAATGATGACACTGAATATCAGTATAAATGTGAAAGGTCTTCTCTACATACCAAAGTCTCTGTTAACTGTATTTGACCTGTTTTTAGTTGCCAGCTATGATCAGCTGTTAATGTGGTGGAATTGGCTGTAAAGTTAGTCTGCAGCCACTTTAAATTTTTGTTTTACTATGAAACGCCTTCGAGCTTACACTTGCGCTTCCTTTTTTGCCAGGTTTATGTTTATAGATAATTTTGCGTCCGTTAAGTAATGGGTGATCTTTGTTTCTTTGGCTCTTTTCTGTAACTGTTTGTCTAACTGTAGCAGCATAGGTTTAGATGTAATCTTAGTGGACCTGAAAGAGCCTTGTAGCTACTTTGAAGCTAGTGCCTTTGTGCCTTTTCTTTTCTTTAGAAAATGGGTCACTTAGTTTGCTCTAGCAAGCAGATATTGGTGTCATTGCACAAGCATTATGGAAATGATTATCAGCATAAATACTGTATGTGAGTTTTTACTGTAGGCATAGTTTGATCACAGACACTGGTGTAAAAGTTATAACAGTTAATGGTACTCATTCTAACTTGTCGTTTACCTATTTACTCTTTGTCACAAAAAAAACACTACTTTTTCTCCTTATCACAGTTATGTTCAGCTGTTTTTTGCACAATATGATGAATGAAGCCTCGCACATGATAACCTTTACAATCATCACATTTATCACTACCTAGTTGGCGTCATTGGGGTAATGGTTTTGTTTCACATTGACTGTTACACGCTCAAAAGCGTTCACCCTTACTAACAAACATGAATCCTGGAGCAATTACTTGGATTTAAAAGCCTCTCACTGTTTGCACTCTCACATCTGTTGCACTGAATGTGACTTTCACCATCATAAAAGTAGCAGGTACCAGAATGTTGTGTACTTGTAGTCAACATCATCTTGACAGTTGCAAAGTCATTAATAATAGCCAAAGCTTGTTGGTTCTGGTGCTGACTTAAGCAACACACATCTTTGTGGCCTCACAGCCTTTAAACAGTTAAAAAAATAAACAACAAAAAAAAACCACCACAGTAATTCAGGTTTTTACAAAGTGCTATCACAAAACACATTGTTCCGTACCTTTGCTACCAAGATCACAGTTTACTTGCAGTGCAGACACATGAAGTGTAGCATATTAGCATCTTGCTGGTGAGTTTGGCTATCGGGCACCTAAGTGGTTGATTGGCTTTGATTAAAGCAGCTCAGATATTTAAGTCTAAGAGAGCACACAGGACAGACAGTTCGCTGGGCAAACACACTTGGTTTTGTATAGACTTATATTGTATATGTGCCTGCACATGGGTTTGTTTGTACATTCATGTATATTTTGATTTCTGGAGGGTTAGGGTAACTGGTGTGTCTGTGTGTTTTCTCAGGTTTCTGGCCCTGACTGGGGCCCAATGCTACCTACCTCTATCTGTCAGGCCTGGAAAACCTTAACTACTGTACCTTTCCCCACAGAAACAAGTTTAGTTTAATTTGCAGCATTTGTCCATAACAGTTCAATATATCCGCCTTCTCTTTAAATGTCAAATAATAAGCTGATCTTTCAAAATGTTTGATTTTAACTTCCATGTACATATTAAACCAGATTATATTATTTTTAGTGAAATAAAGTACATCTTAAATGTTCATGTTATTAGTTGGTGTTTGCTTGTGGACTTGAAAGAAATGTGCATCATTATTGATGGAAATTACTGTTACCCTGTTCAGCTGCCTTTGTCAAGGGAGTGTGAAATGGTACTAACAACCTTTTCTTCCTCTTTTTTTGTGGTGTTGGTTCAGTTAGTCAGTTTAAAGGTTTCGGTTATAGCATATGGAGCACATAAGGGGTTTTTGTTTTGGCTTGAAAACACTTAATAAATTCATGTTCTTACATTTAGCTGGACAGAAATGTATCAAAATGAAATATTAGATTTCTGTGACAGTGTGCATATTTTGTCTTGCATGTGTTGCTGTCTATTATTTTCACTCCAGTCCTCACAGACCTGAACCGTGATTCCTGTATTTTAAAATGACTGTTTCAATGTCTCTAAAACATGTCTGTGCATTTATAAATTGGCAGAGCAGGTTCACGGGTTTTATTTGCATCACAGAATGTATTCATGATAATTACAGAACAAATGGCTGAATGTGTCTTTGTTTTTAAGGTGGTTTCCTTCTATTGGTTTGTTACAGCACAGTTGTATGTAGTTACAGAAACCTATGAAAAGGCTCGTAATCTCAACTGCTTTTCAGTAATGAATTTAGAACCAAATATTTTGCTGGCTGTCAATCTAATTCCAAGCTAGCACTTTAAAAAAAATCTGTAGCATGTCAGCAAGAGTTTGGCTGTGCAGGTGTGTATAATAAATGTGTGTGCAATATTTAACAGGCTGTAGAGCAGAAGAGAAAAGTTTAGATGGACATAAGCCTGTCGAGACAATTTGCACTGTTAATAGTTTATAGTTTACCTTGTGGTTTTAAATGCGCTTTTCCTTGATACAAAGTGAATTTTAAACACTACTTGACTTGTAGTATCACTCAAACTCTAAATTATTGACAGTGCATTTGTCTGTTTGTGTTTCCTCCAGAGGATTTGAATGTGGTGTGTAAATGGTGGATTTCTGTATGTGTAGTATGTAAAGATGTGGAAATACCGTTGTTTGCTCTGATTCCTGGAAATGCTACACTTTATAATTTACTGTGTGGGGATTTCATCAAATAAAACTAGTGTGTTTTTAAATCTATTTTGTCTCTTTAATAATGTTCAGATATTTGTGTAGTTGTTAAGTTTCTCTTTGATACATTTAACAGCTGTGGCTTGCACAAATGTTCAGGCAGCCTGTCGCCACTTTGTAACTTCATGCCAGCTAAGTATTTCAGTTCTTGCGTTAGAATTTGTCCCCCATTATTCCTTGCAGATTGCTTATATTTTATAAAAGCTGTTTTGCATGCAATACACATTTGATATCACTGCATCACTTGCTAAAGTTTAGTTTCTTAAATAGTTAATCTTCTTAGGTATGTTTAGGATGTTTGTCTTGTAATACTTCTTACAGTGGGATATTTGCTTCCATCACACATATAAGAAAACATTGACAGATGAGAGGGATAGAATTCGTTAAACTCTGGAGCTGTCTTTACATGGTATGTTCAAGAAAGAAAATACACCAAATTATGAGCATATTCCTTTGCAAGATTTTGTTGCTATTGCTACTATCTGCTATATGCAGACTTGCGACTCTTCCCACGGCCCAATTCAATTCCCTCAGGTACAATTTTTGTATTTACATATTTAATTTAATTTTGTAATCTTTTGCCTCCATACTTTTTATCTCAATACACCTCATTGTTACAATGTGTATGGCTGGCATTTAGTGTTTAGTAGCCTTTACCTCGCCAACAGTCCTGCAACAGATGTGGCCCCTGCAGAGCGCTGATCTCAACATCATGGAGTCAGTCGGATTACATAGAGAGACAGAAGACACTTAGACAGCCTAAAATCAGAGAACAAATGTGGCAACTTCTACCTGTGAGGTACCTTGAAAAACTATTGGCAAGTGAACAGATGTTGTAAAGACAAAGGTTGGTCTGAGCACTTTGTATTGTTAATTTACAAATAAAAACCAACATGGCATTATTTTTGAAAGCATCCTCACTTACTTGTGGTGCCTAAAGCTAAGTATGTATATATACAGTATTCTATTTTTATTCTATCTTATCTTATATGCAAAATAAAGCCCATGTGTTAAAATACAAAAGAGAAACACATTGCCTAACTGTTTTTTTTTATAAGGCTGCAGTTTGAATCCTAATATTTAGTGGGCTGAATATTAGAGGGGTCGATTTTAATGAGGATGGGCATAACCATTGTATTCGCCAGAGAAAGATTGAATTGTCCAACCATCCACCTGCTGAAGGATGCTGAGCTGTGGGAAGAGGAGGAGGAGTAGGAGTAGGAGTAGGAGGAGGAGGAGGAGGAGGGACGTCACGTTCGGGCCCTGTCGTTGCAACGCGGAAGAGACGAAGGAGGAAAAGAGGCTCCACGTCACTGAGGTGTAACATTGGCGTCAGTGCCACACAAGGTGCTACCTCAGTACGGTTTCAATACCATTGTGCAATTACAGAAATCCTCATGTAGGCAGTAATAATACGTATGACCACAGAGCGAAGATACATTCGGCTGTTTCTGCACTGAGCGGCCTCGGCACAGACACTGGGAATCCGCTGAAGGTAACGTACGTTGTTGGACGTTTGTGTGTTTGTCCGCTGCCTGCTAGCCAGCCCGGCTGGAGCTCAGCCACAGGACCGCGTTTCCTCTGGACACCGGTGACCTTTGCAAAAAACGATATACTGCATTTAACTGATCTAATGTCGTAGATACTATTAGAGCCAGGGTTTACTCGCAGTGACTGAGTGCCAGTGTATTGACACAGCTAGCTAGTCTGGATTTAAGCTCCGCAGGCTTCAAAGCGTTGTTTCGGTTTGACAGTTGTTGGGGTCCCGCTGCCTGCTGCTGCTGCTGCTGCTGGTTACATGGATGTACAACTGCGCATCTCATCTAATGCAAACTGTATTATCTGATAACCACCTATGGCTTATTCGTACACGGAATAAAAAACAACCGGGGCCGTTGAACAGTTGTAAGAACTGTTGGTGATACTGTAAGCACACAGTGACAACATGCTAAGGCCCATTCATTGTTGTGATTTTGATGTTGTAGACACACTGTAAAACGTGGAGCAACCCCCAGTGACGATCATTACAAGGTGCCACTATATCAGCAGCCGCTATACATACAATACAAATATGTAAAAACATGCAACGTGCAAACATCAATGCCCAAAGGATATTGCCACTAGTGATCTGAAACAGTGGATTTATCAATTAGTCGACCTACAGGAAAGCAATCGATTAATCGTTAAGGTAATTTTTCTAGCAAAACTAGTCGGAAAAAAGCCAAATATTCTTTCTTTCCAGTCAAAATAGTTGCACCTGTGCTGCTGCTGTGTATATGTGCAGTGTCAACATCTGGAGTTCAGGGAAGTCACAAAATTAATATTTGTTATCATTAGAAAGTGTTTAAACATTAATGTGATTAAATCGTAAACAGTGGATATTGAACAGAAATGCCTCATGTTTGACAAATTGTTTGATTGTAATTAAAATATTCTGAATTAGTGTATTAATAATGCATTCACCTCATAAATGACGACATATTTCTCTCTCTGACATGATAGTACAATGGCTGCTTTTAACAATAAAAAGTATCAGTTGATATGATAATGTATTGATATTATTGATCCTGGCCTTACTGATTTTACACCTAAAGATGAGGATTAACTGCCTCTGGGCAAAAATTTTTACTTGCCAGAAATTTAATGTAAAAAATTTTGATAATTGATTTATTGTCTAAATCACTTTTTTAAGCAAAAATGCCACAAAATTCACTGGTACCAGCTTCTCAGATATTAGTTTCCTGGTTTTCTGTGATAGTGACTAAAACATTGGGAGTTTTGTCTGCCGGTAAGACAAAACCAGGCCAATGGAATATGTTAACTTGGGCAACAGGGGATAATTATGGACATACTTAACTACTACATACTTGACATTTTATAAACAAAACACTCACTTGATTAGTAAAGGAAATAACTGACAGACCAAGTGATAACGAAAGTAACTGTTGGTTGCGACCTTACAGCTCTCCTGTGATGGAATAATAATACCATGCCCAAGGTTTTTTCTGTGTTAATGACTTGACTCTGCCCAGTTGGAAACTCAGCCTTGCATCTGGTGTGTCTAGGCTCAGGCTTGGAGACCAAAGATGTATTACAAACCCATTTTTGGCCATATGCGCCCTGCAAATATTCGCTCCCTCTTCAATTCATTTTAGGTGAACTCCACATGTGTGTGGTCAGCCAGTAGAAACACAGATGTGCAGTGTTTGCAGATGGAGAAGTCATTATTCTGTTTAGTACAATATTCTATGATCATGGTGATCAATATTTATCTGTTAGCCCCATCATGACATCATACCATATTCCTTTAAAACCTACATCAATTCAATACTATGACTTGTAGCCTGCTATGAATTTAGCCTCTGATTACTAATGTCAGCCGCACCTCATAAGAATGTTTGTGTGAATGTTTTGGATCTTGTATTACCAGTTGGCTCATCTGTTGTCTTTTGCTTTGTTGCTTGCTTCTCCTATTTGCAGCGTATGTCTCTGTGCCATGCATGTGTTGTCAAATTGGCGAATGATTTTCTCAGTTTGCTTGAGTTTTTTTAATTTCCAGCATGCTTTCTAAATATGATACACAGGGGGTGTTGTCAAAGTGCTTGCTTGTGTTTTGCTTGTGTTTTGTCTATTTGCATACGTTTTCTTATGTGGCGGTATATTGAGCTCTCAGTCACCAAGGGTTTTCTTTGTTAAGGTGTACAATATCCAAAATTTAAACTTGTAGTCTGAATAAGAAAAAGTTTCCTCAGTGGCCCAAAACTAGATGGCTGTCATGTGTTTAGGATAGCAATGTTTCTGTTGGGCCAGAGGTTAGAGATTACATTTGTCATTTGAGTCCCTGGTTAAGAAGGCAACCTCTTGCTCAGATAGCGTGCTGTTTTGACCACACGTCCTGGCTCGCATAGATAAGGTCATGTCTGCCATGACCGAAAAATATTTTGAATACATTTTATCCAATGAACACACAAACAGACAAGGCACATGAGTGAGGTCATATGCCAATGTAACACCAATGAAGTAATAATCAACCTGGGAATCTGCTTATTGTAATATGTAGAATATGTTTTCCCATTGCAAAAGAGTCTTCTGATGAGGCCATATCTGTCACCAAGAGGCATATTGTTTTCAGCTTCCAGTCCACACTAAGCAGTAGCCTACAGTGTTGCCTTAAATATCTTTCATTACCTGTAGTAGAAGACTATGGTTAGTGTTTTCTGTTGTGAAAAAGATCCCATTATAAACCTGCTGTATAGGAAACACCCTGTTATTCACACCGCATACACGCCTTGTTTTCTTCCAAACTGACAGATAATCACGTGAGTGTAAAATTGCACTGAGATTGGAATTTGGACCCATACATTAGCCTTCTGATATACTACTCTGTATAAATATTGTAGGCTCAGGCATTAGGGTGTGTTGATAAGACAATGCAAACGCCACAGTAGTGGAGGAATAAAAGACTTCAAGCTAAGCTGGTTTATTTGGCATATGGTGTGATCATTAGGAGCATGGCAGGGGGCTCCCCCGAACTCCTACAGCTATTAATTTCAAAGCAGTGCATTACCAACATGCCTTGTGTTTTTTATGTTATGAGAATATCCATTAATGTCTTGTTTTTGAAACTGAAAAATGGTGCTACAGCTGAGCACAATAACACAGCACTATTTTTCTGTCATTTAGGGAAAGTCTTACAAGGTATTGAACAGACCACAGACTTTTTTTGAAGAGAAAGATCAATGAGCAGCTGTATCTTTGCAGCTGTTAAGAATAACAATAACGGTATAAAAACAACTCTTTTTAGGTTGTTATCCAGCCAAAACCTGTTGGAGTGTTTCTGATGCTCCAGGGCCTTTACACCAATGTGACACTGATGTCATTGTGTTTGTTTTCCAATCAATATTAGTAGCATTTGGCTCATTCGTAATGAGGATGGTGTCTCAAAAATGAAATGACTGCAATATTCAG